CTGGATTCTTTAGTGGCCCCAGGTGGGAAATCGTTTTCTTCTGGCCCATAAAGCAGCCGTCTGGTCTGCTGTGTTTTACTACCAGCCTTCCTCTGCGGGCTGGGAGAAGCAGGCCCGGGTGGCTGTGCTGTGGGGGAATTTATGTACCAGACTCGGGGGAAATCCTCAGGATGTCTTTACAGATTCCTTTGTCACATGAGCCAGGTGCAGCCCCCAAATCCAGTCAGCCTGAGGGGAATGTCGAGCCTGTGGTTAGGGGACAGGTCAAATCTCAGAAGAGAGGGCTGGAACGAAGACATGGACATGGGGGTCGTTGCAACCACTGATGGTCTTCCAAGCTTGGGGGCTGAAACCCCCTTTCTGCTTATCCCAACCAGAGTGGATTCTGAAGTTTGCTGTTAGGAAGCCTGAACGATACAGGGCGTGTAGTGCCAGCAAGAGCAGAGCGGAGGATAAGTCAGCTGGGGCAGGAGGTGACTGGCCCTACAGGCCTGGCCAGACCACAGAGAACACACATCAAGTGTCATCGGCCTCATGCTCAGTGTCTGAGGCCAGCAGTATGTCTCGTGACTGAAGGAGCCGGAGAACAGAAGACCCCTTGTGAAGTTAGAGGTAGCACGGTCCACAAGACCACCCTCACTTCTGACACCAATTGCAAGTGTGAGGGTCCCCAAGACTACCCATAAGTTCTATAACTTGCTAGAAGGACTCACGGAACTCACGGAAAGATGTTATACTCATGGTTAGTTTGTTAAAGGGAAAGGATACCAATTAAAATCAGCCAAGGGAAGAGGTGCACAGGGCAGAGGCCAGAAAAGTTCCAAACACAGAGCTTCCAGTTCACCTCTCCCTGTGGGTTTGTGGACGGCCTTACTTTCCGCACAACAATGTGTGACAATATGACAGAGTGTTCCAACTCGGAAAGCTCACTCAAGGCTTGAAGCCCAGCGTCTTTACTGGGGCTCCACCTACAGGCACGGTTGACCACCCATGTGGGTGAACACTGACTCCAGCCCTTCGGAGGTCCAGATGATCCCATGTGACCCAAAGCCCCACCACGGATCACACTGCTAGGCTGTCTGGCACGGTCCAATGCCCCCAGGGAGACAAAGACACTCTTATCAAGCAGGAGTTCCCAAGGGCTCAGAGATTAGCTCTCAGGGGCTGAGGGCAAAGACCAGACCTCTCTGTGAGCAAGGTTGGATTCTTTCCTACACAATCCAACAAGGTTGGATTCTTTCCCCACTCCGCTGCCTGATCCCATGTGAACCCTCTCCCCTATATACTCAGGCACCACCTCAGGAGAAGGGGAGCGCGTGAAAGAGGAGAGACTGTGAGCTAGTACCCAATTGCTAAGATCACCAAATAGTCTCTGTAAATTATTGGATTCTATTTCTGGACATTTGTTCTACGGATGTACCTGCACGTATACGTGTATGGTTGTATGAATAAGAAATGATGTATGGATAAAGTTATTCACTGAAGCACTGTTGATTGTCAAGAGCTGAGCTGAGCTGGAGAGAGAGCTGAGCTGCCAGGTGCTGTAGTAGCTGATTAAAGCAAGAACAAGCAGGGGCCGGCCCGGTGGCGCAGCGGTTAAGTGCACACGCTCCGCTTCAGTGGCCCGGGGTTTGCAGGTTCTGATCCTGGGTGCGCACCGACGCACTGCTTCTCAGGCCATGCTGTGGCGGCGTCCCATATAAAGTGGAGGAAGATGGGCATGGATGTTAGCCCAGGGCTGGTCTTCCTCAGCGAAAAGAGGAGGATTGGCAGATGTTAGCTCAGGGCTGATCTTCCTCACAAAAAAATAAAAATCGACAACAAGCTAAACTTAAAGTAACACTGAAGACTTTGTCACTCACTCCGTAGGATCAGCAAGGAAGGGGCTCCAACTCACACCCCGCCCGCGCCTGCCGTTCCGTTTCACTCCGTGGAACTGTGTGACACTGGTGGATCAAGTGGATGGGTGCAGACGTGGGGGTCGTCTCATTGTTGAGGGAGCCCCAAACAGAAGCCTCTGGCAGTTTTATGGACCCTGGGGCCGAGGAGAGGGAGAGGGGAAAGAGCTGGGAGTGAAAAAGTACTGAGTACTCAGTCATGGTGGGGAAAAATGTCTTCAAGCTTTCCCCTTCTCTCCCTGATAGAGTCCTTGGCAGAGGCACCTGAAGAAGACCTCTGCTGAAGGCCTCAGATAGAGACCTAGAAATGAAGGCGCCTGGGCTAGGACTGCAAATATGCAAAGAGCATGACCCCAAGGGGCTGGAGTCCTTGGCTGCAACTTCCTTCAGAGATTGCAAGGCACTGGCTGCACACCAAGACTGGTCAGGAGGGCAGCTTTCCTCCATGAGGCCTGTCAGAAAAGCCTTTGTAATTGCCTGTGGTCTGACCTCAGGAATCACACATAAGTTTTTGGTTAAAATGCTGGACTTTGGTTAAAATGAGGAGCCAGACTCCTCATTTATAAAAGCAAAGTATTGGAAATAACCTAAGGACCCATCCGTAGGGGATTGGTTAAATTGTGGTACATCCCCACCAGGAAATCCTATGCATCTTTAAGAAAGAGGAAGCTGTCTTGTACATACACAAGTGTGGAACTCTGTGTAGCCGTAAGGAGGGGTCGTGGGAAAGTCAGTGAAGAGCAGAGGGGGAGAAACAGGCTGTGGTCAAGAGGAGGGTCTCCAGGGTGGTGTCTTAGTTTGGTGTGAGGATGAGGTCTATGGTGCAATGAGACTGTGGTCTCTTGATGGTTCTTTGACAGCCCAGAGTTCTGATTGTTAATGTCAGAATGTCCTATCCCGAGGCCAGTCCTTCTATACAGGTCTGAGCTCTCCAGGACACTCACATGTCTACAGTCAGATTTCAGGGTGTCAGAACTTGCTATGAGACCCCAGGGCCAGTGTGGTTGTCCTGGACCTATCCCACCAAGACATGATGACAACCTAACTTGAGGCTGTGTTACAAAGTGAATGTGTTTACTCTCCCTGGGTAAGAATGGCGTTTTCTTGCTTTGTGAATGACAAATATTTTGTTCTTTCACAAATAACTGTTTTTTTCATTGTGCCATAGCAAACCTGGTTGCCCCATACTCATCAAAGGCTTGCCTGGGGCTTCCCTGAGTGTTTTCTTGTAGCCATCCCCAGGGAATGTTCTGGAATGTCCTAGAATGTTCTGGAATGCTAGTTTCTTAAAAATATGCAGAGGTACAACCCACAACTTTTCCAGGCAACGTGGCAGACAGTTTTATAGCACGTCTAGAAATTTAAGCTGGTGAGCTCCTACCCCATTGTAGGGCCATGTGTAGGCCATGTCAGTGCCCCGCCCATCTTACCACGTCAGTGCACACCAACCTGATTTCTACTTGCTAGCACTTGTGTTTCTTTGCCTGAGAGATTTCTATGGTTGCTAGAGCCTGCTCTGCCCCCACCAGAAGAAACAGAGCGTTAATGTCCCCCAGGAGCTCCCCTCAACCAGTGACTGACGGGAGATGGTGTATAAATATCCAGCTCCCTTGGCCCTTGGATGGATATTCTGAAAAGCGGTCTACACTGGCTCCCAGAGTTTCCCCAGTGGGATTAGGTTCCATTCGCCTATGGTGGTAACTGGTTTGGTCATGCACCCTTATAGGCTGCCTTCCATTCCTCTTCTCACTTTCTCTCCTCTATGGGTAGTTCCTGGAATCTTCTTCCAGATAAACTACTTGTATTGACCTTCTTGTCTCAGGGTCTGCTTCTGGGGAGCCCAAAGTAAGGCAGGTGGTAATCGCATCAGCCCTTTACCAGAACCTAGTTATGCTCTGGGCACCCCCAGAAACTTGACGTGAACCCATCAAGTCCCTGGTTACCCTGCAAGGAGGGATTCCCAGCCCCATTTGACAGGTGAGGACACTGAGGCTTAAAGAGGCCTTGCCCAGAGGCATAAAGCAAGTAAGTTGGAGTCAAGACTGTCTCTTTCCACCACACTCGAGGCAACACTCCTAAATCAGAGACCAGAACTGGGTTTGTGCTGCCTCTACTTCCCCGTGCTGAGCAGCCCAGGGCCTGCCCACAGGAGATCAGGGTCAGTAAGCAAGACCCGGCCAATAAATATCGAATCCCCACTACGGCTAAATGAATCCGTTTACGTGGATCACCTAATATCATCATCATTATTATTAATTAATATATCATTAATTCATTATTATCATCTTTATTGTATAGAAGAGGACCCCAAGGGGCAAAGGGACCCGCCCAAGGCTACATGGCTAGTATTGGACGGAGCCTGAGCCCTTCACCACCCACCACAGGGATGGATGATGGACAAGAGGGAAGCGGAGGGAGGACATGAAGCCATGGCTTACCCTGCCACCAGCTGGGTGACAGCACATCGTCCCATCTTGGAACGCATCTCTGTCACACACAGGGTAAAAGGGTCTATTCCCTGTGAATTATCTGCTAGCCGGCAGCTCCATCTATCTGCTTATTAACGCAATAAAAAAAAATCAATCGAGCCTTCTGATTCCCAGTCCCCGGGGCCCAAATACATGACTTGGAAATGACTCTTTAGTAAGTCTGATCAAAGGCTGGTTGTTCAGTAATTAGAAATCACGGCCTCTTCCTCCAGGCTGGGGGGTCATAAACAACCATTAGACGGGCTTTTTATTTGGGACGGACCAGAAACCTAGACGGGTCCATTTCCTCCTAATTTACACCCGGTGCAATGGGGAAAGCAGCAGGAGGCTGAGTTTTCGCTCTGGGAGATCCACTGGCTCCTGTGTCTGCAGCAGGCAAGAAGTGAGGGAGGGGGTGCATACTGAAGCGAGCCCACGAACTGAGATGGACAGGCGCCTTAGAGAGCGGGCATCAGCACCAGATCCAGGGCTGAGCGAGGAGCAGAATCCCTTGTCCTCCCTTTGGGGAATGTGGTCAGAGTTGAGCCTTGGAGACCATAGATGGGACTGACCATCGAAAGACCCCTCAGGCAAAAGAGGGTGGGCAGTAGGGAGGTTCAGCTGGAGTACCACTCAGTAAATATTTATTGAGGACCTACTAAGTGCCGGCACTCTGCTAGGCACAGGGATCAGATGGTGAATAAAAAAGACGGTGCCTGCCCTTAAAGATATAACAGGCCTGAGGGGGAGAATGATCCATCCTGGCAGGAAGGTAAAGTCCGGAGTCAGAGAGGGCGTGGGTGCCCCTGCCGAGGAGGAGGAGTGTGGGAGCAGAGGCCACATGGACCTCGCCCCCAGAGCTGAGAACAGAAATGTCTTCACCCTCCCAGAATCTCTGGGAGTATGCTGCGCATCTGGAAGTGCAACTTGCCGATCCAGCTGTGGCCTCCAAGCCCCACCTTCCTCCCTGCCCTCAAACTTTCGTATACTGGACGTTGGCGCCCAAGAACAGGAAGTCCTAGGAGAGACAAGACAGGACAGGATGGTAAATGCACCCTCTACTCCAGAAAATGCCTCTCCGATTTGAAGGGAGGCCTGTGTCTGGAGAAACACAAGCTCTGGCAGAAACCAGGTCAACGCGTAAATTGTGAGTGTGTCTCCGTCCCCAAGGTCTCCATAAAGCATAGCTTTTGCCAGCTACCTTCTCTAAGGCGGCAATTTATCTGTCTTTCCCCAGCTGCTGCTTCCTGGCAGTCCTCATAAATGTCCTTTGTGTCACCTAAATTTTCTCTCCTTGGCAAATAACACAAAATTGTGAGCCGCTGGGATTTACTCTCCTACCTCCTCATAAGTTTCCATCACCCAAATGGGTGGGAATTCGGAACTCAAGGAAAGGTCCAATTCTTTCTCATAAGGACCTATCCCCTGCCTTTGGTGCTCAAACAAATGGACGGAGCTGACCTCAAAATTCTAATGAATATGATAATATATAATAAATCCTCTAATCGCTTCCCATGTGCCAAACTGAGCTAGAAAGCTTTCAGACTTGGCCTCTAATCTTCACAAGAGCCCAGTGAACTCTGGGCTGCACCCCATTTACAGAGGGGGAAACTGAGGCCAACTGCGTGAACTGTCACTCCATCTTTGCTTTGAATAAAGATCTGTCTGACTCCTTGTAACTACTCTATAGTACTTGGGTGTTGATATCGCTGGGCCCAAAGGGGCTTTGGACATTTGTTTTTCAAATACGACAGTTGGTCAACGTTTCATTGCTCCTGGCCACTCTGCTGCCCTTCACTCTCCTTAGTTCTTATTTGCTGGATGTTGACAATGTACCAGGCACAATGCAGCATTTCCTGTAATGCTCACAGCCCGTGAGTCATCCCACCTTAGAGATGCTATTCTAGAAAGATAACCTTAACTGTGGGGCACGGGTGGACCATAAAATGCTTGGTCAGAATAGTGGAGAGGGGCCGGCCTGGTGGCACAGTGGTTAAGTGCGCACGCTCTGCTTCGGTGGCCCCGGGTTCGCCGGTTCTGATTCCAGGTGCACACGGACGCACCGCTTGTCAGGCCATGCTGTGGCGGCGTCCCATATAAAGTGGAGGAAGATGGGCATGGATGTTAGCCCAGGGCCAGTCTTCCTCAGCAGAAAGAGGAGGATCGGCGTGCATGTTAGCTCAGGGCTAATCTTCCTCACACACAAAAAAAGAAAAAAAAGAATAGTGGAGAATCCAATATATTCCTTGGTGTTAAAATATCTAAGTGAATTATGGTCCATCTGGTGGATGGGACAGTATTTAATATGGGAGGGAGGGGACTAGACTGCCAAAAGGGAACAAGCCCAAGGGGGTGATGTTAAGTTTAAAAAGAAAAAAAACAAAAGTGAAAAAGACAGGTATGAGCACCAGCAATGCAACTATCCAAAATAAACAAGCACAAACTTTGTAACTGCTTAGAGAGAACTCGAGAGGCTGGAAGGAGGTACCCCGCAATCCGATCTGTTGATGTGGTGGGGCAATGCGCTTATAAATAATTTTCAAAACTGTGTATAATGTGGTTATGTTACTTGTTTAAAACGGGGAGGAGGAGCACACCAAACATATATTTATAATAAAGCTGTTCCACTTAAGAATTTAGAAGTTTTAAAAATTTAACAAATGGCTTTCCGAACTTGACCTGTTGGCAAGTCTAGGATTGCAGGATTTTCAAAAACGAGCTGGTCTTGAGGCTCCTCCAGGTCACCCCTGGTGGCAGGAGCTGTGTCAAATGCCTCCTGCCGCAACAGAGGGGCACTTCTGAACGACACGTGGATGGCTTTGTGGCGTCTAGTCGTGCCCAGGGCATCCCTCCCCAGTCCAGGCTTCCCAGCTGCAGGCTGGGCTGCGTCCCACCCACTGAGTCATGGCCTCTGCACCTCGCAAGCTAACCAGCCCCCCAAATCCTCAGAGCCCCCCCGGAACCCACTGACCTTGTGGATCTGGAGAACAAGGTCGTAGAGCCGAATATGCTTTAGCAGAGGGAGGGGGAGGCCTTTTGCCAACTTATCTGGAGGTGGAGGCACAACATTGAGAGAGATTTGTTAAGAAATAACAATCATAGACAAAGTTTTACAAGAAAAAAAAGGTCCTCTCTGCAAATGCTATACCCATTTAATTATCACCAAAGACTATGAGGTGGGTGTAATTACTATGCCCATTTTACAGATAAGGAAACTGAGGCGCAGGGTGGTCAAGTAACTTGTCCTAGGTCACACAGCTAGAAAGTGGCAGAACTGGGATTTGAACCCAGGCAGGCTGACACAGGAGCCTGAGCCCTCAGCCACAGTGCTGTACGGAGGAAGTGGCAGGTACGGGCAGCACACACTTGTGATAAGAAGCTGGTGGACGCCCCCTCTCCGCCCTCCACCTGCTTCTGTAGCAGCCGAATGAAGCAGGGCCTCATGGAAAGAGGGTTAGGGCTTTATGCTTTAATTTTTGACTAGGGCGTTGGCAACTGACTGGGAAATGTGAATTCAGAGGTGGGCTACCTTGGGCCTTCTAGATTAACTTGGTCCTCAATCCTTCACCTGCCACTTCCGGGTGTGGGGGCACGTCCGTGAGTCCCTCCTTCCCTCTTATGAGGAGGTTCCCCCGCGCTCCATAGAGCCCAGTCCCCAACCCTCGTTAGAGCCCTGGAGGAAGATGAGGCTGACTTCAACACTCCCATCTCACAGACAGGCCACTGAAGCTCAGAGGAAAGTGACTCGCCCAAGATCACACGGCCTGTAGGAGAGCCCTGTGATCCAAGTCCAAGGCCAGCTCTCTTTCACCCAAAGGGCAATGTCCACTCGACATGGAAAAATCCACAGTGATTCTTACCGTTGACCTTGGGGTAGAGAGTGTTGAGAATGTGGACGTTTAGCAGCGCCTCCAACACCTCCACCTGGTGGAGAGCAGGAGAGGTACAGTCACCACCTGTGCCATCTTGCCCTCCAATAACCCTCCACGCGGCCCCCCTGGGGGCAGGGTGGCTCTGTATGTACTGACCTGGCAAGAGTCTTGAAAAAAGTAAATTGCAGATAGATACCTACATTATGTCACTATTTTATAAGGTAAATCTATTTTGAGACGCACATTTATATGTGTGCAAAGGGATAGAAAAATTTTGGAAGACTGCACACCCAACTGTCTTTCCTCTAGGAAGAACATCAAGGTCTGGCTTAGCCTTATCTTTAGTATTTAATTTTTTTACATTGAGAATGTTTTCCTGAAGAACTTGTGTAATAAAAAAAATTTTAAGTCAAAACAACAATTATGAAACACCACTTTTAACACTCACTATGTGCCAGGTATAGGGCTCAAAGCATTACATTTGTATCTGATTCAACCTTGACAAAAACCTCTCTAAGTTGACATTAATGTCCCCATTTCACAGATAAGGAAACTGAGGCCCCTAGAAGGAAAGTGGCTTGCTGGAAAGTGGCTTGCTAGAAACTGGGCAGCAGGGTCAGAATTTGAATCCAGATTTATCTGATTCTACAGTTCTTGCTTTTTACATTCTATGTTCAGAAAACATGATAGGGATGAGTTTTTGTGAACCTTTACATATGATTGTTTTACTTTATAGAATATTTTTATATGCCATGCACAGATACAATATTAGTATGTCATTATTCACTTCGTCCTTTATTCTCTGACAGGGGTCATCCTTCGGGGTCCCTGTGGGCCCTGTCTCTCCCCACACTTTATGTGTTTATTTCCTCTTCATAAGGGAAAGTCTGGGAAGAGGAGGGCAGAGTGACGGTGGTCAGAGGGGCCAGCATCCGTGGGAGAGTAGAGAGGAAGACGACTACTGCACGTTACAGTCTATCCATCTCCCCCTCCGCCTGTGGAGAGCAGCTGCCATCGTCCACTTTCCCTCTTTTCAGAAATCTCTCCTCAATCCCTTCAGCCCACACCGACTTCCCATTCTCTTTCCTCCTGTAATAGGCGGCCATCTACTTCACCACTTTGTCCTCCTTGTGAAATCATCACTTAGTTTTGCCTGCCCGGCAAGCAGTGCCTCTTGTTTTAGTCACAGGGTCTCTAATTTCCCCTGGGAACCCACCTTTCCAGTCCTAGTCCATGTGATTTGGGGCTGTAAATCCTGGCTCCAGGAATGTAGATGAAATCCATGCTTGGCCGATTGGTCCAATTTCTGGCCACAGTGATTGGCTTAAGAACTGGCACATGACTAAGATTAATCCAATGAAAGGTAGCATATGGATTTTTCCTTTGTAAGTCTTTTTTTTTAAATGAAGCTACAGAAAATTTGGCGGTTTTCCACTAATGGGAAGAACCTACCTGAGAATGAAGCCAACACAGATGAAAGCAGAATGCAGGAAAGATGCAGGGAGATTCGTGATGCACTAATTTGAGCACCTGGATCCAGCTGTGCCTGAAATCTCTAGCCTTAGTTTTTTTTGTCGTTTGTTTTTTAGTTATATGACTCTCTACGTTCCTCCTGTTTGCTTAAGACAATTTGAATTGCCTTTCTGTTCCTCGCAGTTAAAAAATTCTGTCCAATAGATGATTTAATTAATATTTAATTATATGTTGTCTTATATTGGGATGTAACTGTTCCTTGGCCCTGTTTTGTGTCATCGAGAGCGTCTCTACTTCTTTAGGGCAGATAGCTGCTCTTCTCTTTTTCTATTTCCTACTCTAGGTGCCATAGTATTGCTTAGTAAACACTCTAAATTAATTACTGTCCTAATCATTTCATAAATAAAAACATCAATAACTTACATTGAATACTCCAACTTTGGATTCTTTTAGTTCCATGTGTACCCTATAATGAATCACAGAAGATTCAGAGATGTGGGCATTACGCCCATGGGAAACCTAAGCAATGTGGGGGTCCCCAGAAAGTAGGAGGCACCTACTTGACAAGGCACAGGGTCAAGGGTGGGGTAGAGGTGGGCGTGAAAAAGACGATTGAGTAACCAAAAACAATGGTACAATTATATTAAGAAGACTGGCAGAGGAGAGGTAGGTAGCATAAAAGGGCCCAATGTTTATCATTTCAGGAAGTCAATATAGCGAATGTCTAAAATTATAGATTAAGAAAAAGCAGAATTAGTAAATTCTTTGGAAACTTGGAAGTAATGGGGCTTAGGTGGAAAGGAAGTTTGTGGAGGCAGGACCAGTGGGGCAAAAGAATTGAGCCAACTGGGGTGAAACTCAAGTTTCCTTCCCAAATCGTGGGCCCCCAACATTGACAGGTGGGTCTCCTCACATCCCCACCCCCAGCTTCAGAGGCTCAGCTATAGCATCCAGACCGAGCTCAGTTGGGCGCCCCCATGTGGGCAGGAGGATGACTTACTTTCCCGGCTTCAGGAACCCAGTGATCTTGGTAGTATTGAAGGTCAGCACGGCGGACACATTAGTGGCCTGGAAAAGCCAGGAGAAGGACACGGGTCTGAATGAGGGAGGTGGTCAGAGACGGGAAGGACGACCATGAGGACCAGCTTCTCCTCTGAACCAACAGCCCCAGGAGTTAGAGCAGGGACTCGCCCACTGACCTGCAGACTCCCGGGAGGCTCAGTGTCGGTGCTCAGACACACTTGACCCTGAACATTTGCACTTGAAATTGCTGACTATGATAGCAGTTCACCTTCGAACAGACCACTAGGAGAAGGTGCAGAGTGCCCATGCCTAGAGGTCTCTAAAGGGGATTGATTCTAGCTGTCTCAAGATTCAGACCTAGCAATAATGATATTAATAATAATAGATTCTGCTTTAATGTAAAATATTTTGGTAACAATATCAAATTGCAGATGTAGCATCTAGGAACAGCTACCCTTCCAGAGATTTGTCTTGTGAGTTTCAAACCTGAAATAAGAGAGCAAAGTTCTCTATCCAGTGAGCAGGACCCCTAAAGGACTCAGAATCCCTTCTCTACTGGGGGGGGCCCATCGAGAAAGGAGAAACCACTCTCAATATTTAATGCAGAGGGAATTTAATATAGGGAATTGTTATACAAGTGATGGAATTGCTGAGAAGCCAAAAAAGAGATGGAGAGGCAACTCAGAGATTAGCAGAGGAGGAAGCTGCTTCCCCCCAGGACTTGAAGGACAGAGGGAGGAGTTGGGGTTATGGGAGCAGCCACGGAGGAGACATAGTCTCTCTCCAAGACAGAGGAAAAAATACTCTGGCTTCTTCCTTCCTCTTGCCCTCCATTCTCCTGACAGTGCCTTCCATTGGCTGACCAGCTGGAAGTCAGAGTGCAAGGGAGCCTGGGAAATGTAGTCTTCAGGGGTCGGATGTAGCTACAGAGCAGAGCAAATGGGTCAAAGACCCCCATGCCTTCCTCCCCACCACAGCCCAGACTCACTTAGTGGGAGATGCGTGCTTAAACAAATAAACCTGCAAACAGCTACGTAAGCATCTTTATAATAAATGCCATGAAGAAAAATACTAGTGTGCTACAAGAAAAAAATGACAAAGGGCCTAAGGTGGATCAGGGTCAGGGCAACCGCGAAAGGCCTTTCTGAGCAAGTGATATTTAAGTTGAGATCTGAAGGAATTAGCCAGGACGTAAGTAGGGGGAAAAGCATGCAGGAGAAGGGAACGGCATTTGCAAAGGCTTTGAGCCTTACCAAACCAAGCCGGAAGACAGGCTCCCTGATGGAGCTGGGCAGGACCACAAAGGCCTCAATCTCCATCTGGGGGGCCAAAGACAGATTCCCGGGGCTGAAGTTCAGGAATGGGGCCGGGACCACTGCTCCCTGGAGCTCCAAGTTCATGTTGGGGTACAGCTTGGCTAACTGGAGGGTGGAACGAGAAGATTAGGTCAAGACAAGGAAATATGCATGCTTGCCGGGAGAGCCTTGAGGGAGTCAGATAAAGCTGAGAATGCTTTTTGGTTGGTTTTATTTCCACAAAATGTTCTGTGCTTTTTCTCTTTAACCATAAAACTGCACATCTTCCCATGTCAGAGCCTGTGTCATCTGTTTCATGGCTGCATTGTATTCCCTTGTGCATGGGTACTGTAACTGATCTAACCCTGTTGGGCATCAAGTTGTCTCCAAGGTTTTGCCCTTAAAATGATCACCCCTCTGTGTTCCCTTGGAATATTTTGGGGGGAAACATTCCTAGAAGTGGAATTGCAGAATCAAAGGGCAGCGATATTTTTAAAGTTTCTGACAGGTATTGCCAAACTGTCCTCCAGAAAGGTCGGGCCAATTTTTTCACCTCCTACCCGTCCACGGGCAATGGGTGAGACCTATTGCTTCTCCACACCCTCATCGCACTCAGATAACTGTACATGCGGACACCAGATGCCAGTGTTTTTGAAATTTGACACAACTAGATCCCACCATCTCAAAAGTGCTCGCAATTTTCTGTTTAACTGGAATTTAACTTGGGGGCAAGATTGTTCCTTTTTGCGGGGAAGTTGGTAGAAGAACAATAGTCCCATGAGCCTTTTGGTTATGCAAATATGAAATCTACATTTATTGTAAAAGGGAGAGGTCTAGAAGGCTGAGGAGGTCAACCACTTTACTAAGAAGGTGGGCTGGGTTGATTATGATGCAAGCAGGAAGGGGAAGGGACAGTTCCTTCCCTTCCTGGGGCAGAAGGATGTTGGAGCCAGGATGCGGCCAAGGGCCCTCCCAAGCGAGCACAACAAGGAGGCCAATTGGGCTGTCGTGGGGCGCTGGGGAGAGACAGGGCCTGTAGGGGGCGCCTAATGGAGGGACATGACCCAGGCACTGCAGGACTTGAAGTTTAAAAATTTCCCACCATTTAATTCCTCTCAGCCATCATCAGGCCTCTGCAAGGCATGTTGAACACTACTGCCTGTCTGTGCTGCGTCTTGCGGGACTCGGAAGGTAGGGAGAGGACAGGTGGGTTTCTGTGGGATTAAATGAGATGCTGCATATGAAGAGTTGAGCCCAGTGATGACAGAGCTACAAGGTTATTTACTGCAACAGTGAGGTAGCCAAAGACTGGACACAATCTCACATCCTTCCATGGGACGCTGGCTAAACAACTATGGTGAATCCATTCACTGGGGGACTGGACACCCGTGAAAACAAGATGAGGAAGCTCTTTATCTACCTATAAGGAATGATCTCCCAGTACAGTAAGGGGAAGAGTAAGGTACAAAATGGTGTGTATAATATGCCTCCATTTGTGTAAAAAAAGGAGAGAAAAGATGCACAGTATTTGTTTGTATATACACAGAACATCCCCAGAAGGATGTATACAATCTGATGAGATTGGTGGACTCGGGATGGGAACTGGGTGGTTAGAGGACAGGACGGATGGGAGACTTTGCACTCTATGACCTTTTATGTCTTTGAAATGCTGAGCCGTGAGAATTTATTATCCAGGCATATAATTTTTTAAGCACCATGGACAGTGCCCAGCCCCGAGCACGCCCTCTGTAATTGTTTGATGTTATCAGCCAGGGTACATTTTGTGGGACGTGTTGGCTTCCTTGGGACTCTCAGACATCACCAGTGAAAGACTGGACAACATGGGGTCCCAGGAGACACGGGGCTCAGGCTTCGATTGTGTGGGCTTTGAAGGGAAGGGAGCCTGAAGCCTGCAGCACCCCGGCCTTCACTGGGGGCCTCGCTGCCGCCTTCTGACTCTTGGCTAAGCTGAAGGAGCGTGGAGGTTTTGAAGAGAAAGAGCTGAAGGCTAGTGGGGCCTTCAAGTCCCCAACAAGGGCTGAGGGGACTCACCCGGGGGATGAAGGGACGGAAGGACTTGGTTGTCAGTCGGATGGGCGACTCAGGTGGAATCTGCAGCAAAGAGACACAAAGAAGCTTTAGGGTGCTCCCCCCGGAGCTGAAGGTCTAAAGAGAGACGGGAGGGCGAGGGGCTGTTCCATAGTCAGCTTCTTGACTGCCCGAGGTTACCATGGCAGTGACGAGATGCCTGTCCTGCATCCACCACGAGCACGTGAGTCCCCAGGGTCTTGGCTGCTCTCCCTGAAGCTTAGGTGACATGTGGGACCCCCTCAGAGGGTCCGTGAGGGTTAGACTTACAGTCATAAATCTGTAAATCTGACTTTGTTGCTGTGTGTTCTTGCGCCAGTCCCTTCACCCTTCTGAGCCTCAACATCCTCACCTGTAAAATGGGGATAATAATGGTCCCCACCTATCAGGTCATTGTGAGGGCTAAATGAGATGGTGGGTCCAAAGCATTCAGCACAAGGCCTAGCATGTAGTGAGCACTCAATTAAACACAGCTGAATGGTCCCCTTCACTGAGAGACAGGACGTACCACAGGTGGATTGGGGATCAAACATGATAATAGAAGGAGAAAGCCTGGGCGTGAGAAACCATTTGAAGGACAAAAAGTCCCTCCACCCGTCTGGCAGACGGTCCCTGACTTATCACCAGGGGAAGCTGGATCATCCCGGCTGGACTACAGTGTGTTCGCCCACCATCCTGACATTGTACATGAGGCCTCAGCTTTTACAAAGAGCTGTAAGAAACAACCTTCTGAAATCCAGACATACTAGAGAAACTGGAGAAATACTAAAGGCGTGAGCCACTATAAAATTTAGTGTCCCTTAGACAAAGCCACACTGGAGACAGTTGTTTCAGAGCTAAATGCTAGGAAGACTTTGTCTTTCCTTTCCACCACTAGTCACTAAATCATGTACCCTTTCCATTTTGGCTACAAAGAAGCTCCCAGACAGATTTGTGATTTAAAAAAAAAAAATCAATTTATGGGACCAGTGTCTTCATAATTGTGCTTTACTTTTAACTTGGTCTTTATTTCCTATTCTGTGTAATGTGGGGGATCAGAATCAGCTACCCCAAAATGTGTCTCCTTGGCTTAATTATTTTTAAGAACAGAAGACTCTGAAAGAAACTTTGACCTTCCCTCTAACCGCCTAAAAGAATTTAAGATAGAAGGGCCTGTCCCCAGGATAGGCCATCACCATAGATAATTCTAGGTGTGGTGACAGCAAGGCATCTAGCAAGGGCCATTTTATCAAAAGATCTCTTTTGGGTCCCAATGTCTATAGATGGCCCAGCAAACATTTGTTTATCAAACGTTTGCTTGTCCATCTCCATGTAAATTGCCTTCCTCCCCTTTGAAGTCCCAAACCACTACCCCCAACACCCTCCTTTGTCTCTAGCTGAAGATGGTATTTAAGGTGGTGGCTTGGCCATCTTGGCAAGTTACTCAGTTTCCTGGGTTTCTCCCATGTATACATGTTATTAAACTTTGTTTGATTTTCTCCTGTTATTCTGTCTCATGTTAATTTAATTCTTAGACCAGCCAGAAGGACCTAGAGGGTAGAGGAACTTCTCCTCCCTAGAGGAGGAGTTTCTCCCCTACAGTAACTTTATGCATGTATCGGTGTATCTGTTATCCTGCCTCATTCACTAAAATCTTTTTTTAAAAAATTTCCACAAACCATCAGGATGAGAGAAAATATGAATTAGAATAACAGATCTAGACTGGGGGAAACTAAAAGAGACAAGCAAGCCACAGTCTTCCACGGTTCTTATAAGGGAGAAAGAACTTTGACTTTGAGGTTCCTGGCAGCCAAAGTAAAAAGGAAATTGTGCTAACATATTTTTCCTGGTCTTGATTTTTTTTCTTAATTATAATTTACTATTTCACTGATGTAAACAGGATGGAAAGGAAAGAAGGAAGGCCAGGTTACATTGTCATTCTGCCACCATCCTCACCATGTCATCCGTGATGGAGAAGTTCAAGTACCCGGCCTCTTGATAAACTAGGCTGGCTGTGTTGAAGACATAATCAGAGATGGCAAAGTAGACCATTCGGTTGCATTCCTCAGGAAGACTCATGACAGGAGCACCGAAGGGAACTGGGGAGCGGTGATTGTGGTTAAAAATTTCACCCTGGAGAGAGAAATAGGGTTCAATGGAACTTTTCAGAGTCTATCGCAGGGCTGGACATCTGGGCTAGGTAGTCACCTCTGCAGCCCGATGAGGAGGTACTGGCTAGAGACCCTGTCTGAAACTCCACCACTAAAGATGTTTTCCTTTGGGTCAAAGTGTTGTGTATCCAGAATCTCCTAATGAAAAGCGCCCCAGAAGCCTTGGTGTACTAACCCACAGGACCTGATGGCCGGCTTCTCCACTCCACCTAGGGCCAGCTCTGATTGATCTCACCTGCGTGGTGGGACGGGGGAAGGAGGGAAGAAGCGGGAGGGGAGGTTTCAAGGCCTAAGACACCCGTGGGAGGATCCTGGCTCTGGGAACACTCCCCACCACTCCACATTGCCCTGCCCTCGACACAGCTGGAACCACTGGGGAGATGAGGACAGATCTGAAGCCAGGGGGACAGCAGGCCCCAAGAAAGGGCTGACCCTAAGGGAATGCCACACTGGGGCTGGACCCACCCATGCCCCTGCCCAGGACCCTCACCTTAAACATCACGTCCAGCACTTGGTCTGTTACCCGAGGGGCCTGCATTAAGCTGTAATCGATGCTGGCGAGACTGTCCATCTCCGTAGTGACTGTGAAGCGGGAGAGGGGCAGGATAAGGATCCAGGCGATGGAGAAGGGTGGGGGCTCTGGCTGGCCCACACTCCCTGTGACTTTCTTCAGGGCCCCCCGCCCCTCTGCCTTAAGACCCTCCAGCCAGCCCAGCCCTGGGGCAAAGAGCTGCTTCTCCAAGAAAGAGACGACACGGGTTCTCTTGTCCCACTGGTGGATTGGCCACGGGGGTGTGGTATGCTCAGCGTGGAGCGTGAGCGGGTTCCAGAGTCACACACACACCCCCGCGTGCACGCACACACCCTGAGAGCAGGAGGAGCCCAGGCCTGGCAGCCCTTGCACCCCTGGAGCTTCATGCCGAGGAAGCCACACAAGGGGGAAAATTCTCCAGCCGAAGGTATTCCTCCTCAAGTCTACAACTGAGGCCTCAATCTTCAGGGAAACCAGCCTCGTACCAACACGAACCAAATAACCAGGAAGGTCAGACCACGTCCAGGGCCCAGCCACTCCCCTCCAAAGCCCCAGGGGAACAGGAGTCCTGTGTCCGTGCATTGGGCCATTTGTGCCTGCCTGTGCCCCCACTGAAGGGGGACATCAACAGGTGAGCATGGGGAGTCCTGGGGGCCAAGGCCTCAGAGAACACCTCAGACAATTTGTCAGGCTGTCCCTCCACACTTCACGTGCTCATCCTAGATCTGGGGCCTCCACTTGTAGGGGATTGTTCTCTGGGTACACTTACACGTATGGGCAAAGAGCTTGTGCAAGGTGCTCCCTGCCCCGCTGTTGGTAACAGCAAAGGATGGCATCAAACCTACATGACCAGCAGCCGGGGACTTATTAAATAAACAAAGCCACATCCATAAGATGGAGTGCTACACAGCTGTTAAAATGAGACCTGTTACAACCACTTTGGAAGACTGTTTGGCAGGATCTGATCATATTGAACCTGTGCATATCACTTGAGCCTACAATTTCACTGCCAGGGATGGACCCAAAGACGTGCATCCATATGTACTATGGACCCAAAGACGTGCATCCATATGTACTAGAATATTCATAGCAGCACTCCCCATAATGGTCTAAAACTGCAACTACCAAAATGGCCTTCAGCAGTAGAATGGATAAATACTGGACGGTTCCATTCATGTACAAAGTATAAAACTAATCTTTGCTGGTGGAAGTTGGGATGGTGGTTACCCCGGAGAGGTGGGCCGTGACAGAAGGAGACAGGAGGGGCTCTCAAGGCCCATCCTGTTCTGTTTCTTGATCTGGGAGCTGGTTACATGCCTGTGCTCAGTTTGTGAAAATTCTTTAAGCTGTTCCCTTATGATTTGAGCCCTTTTCCCTATGTATTAACTTCCACAGAAAAGTTTGAAAAAATGAAATCAATTTATGTGTGCTGATATAGAAAGATCTCCAAGATATAAAGTTACAAAGGAACAATGTCTATACAATGCATAGACTAATGCATATTCATAATTATGCATATACACATATCTTCATAATTATGCATATACATACATATTCATGAACAAAAGGAATACATATATAAATGTATATTCATATGCTTATGTATGTGTATATTTATATTTGTACATGCAAAGAAAATATCTGAAAGGATGCACCCAAAACAGAGGTTACCTCTTGGAAGAAAATTTGGGGAGAAAAAGGGACTTTTACTTTTTACTTTTTACATTTCTACCCCATTTAAGGTTTTATGAGGTATGTACATGCTTTTATAAAAATTAAGAGAAATCGACTGTCCCAGGAGTGGGTGAGGTGCCCTACCTGGCAGAGTTTGGAGATAAGGCTGTAGGTCAGAGGTCACCGAATTCTGGATCTTTTCACAAATCTGAAAGAAACGGAAGAGAAAGCCTGAGTGAGTTCCCTGGCTTTGGTCTGGCCCTGTGCTAACTGCTTGAGTCACATCATTTCACAAATTTGCTCACCGATCATTGATTCTACAAAAATTTGTAAGTGCTTATCACATGCTGGGTACTGAGGGAACAGAAATGATGAACAACATGTGGGCCCCATGTGGACCTCAGTAGGGTCCAATTGAACCTTTCACAGTCAGTCCCGGGGCTGGACATCTGAGCCAGGTGGTCACCTGCACAGCCTGGTGAGGGGACATCGCTGGAGGTACTGCCTGAAGATCTACCGTTAAAGATGGTTTCTTGCGGGAGGCCGTGGCCTCGCAGAGTCTGGAGTCGAGTAGCAGAACGAGGCAGTAAGTAGAAACGGCCACACGAATGAACGTATAATTAATGTAGATACTTCTTAAATGTCATCACTTACCAGTTTGGCTGGATTGATCAATATTCCCTGTTGGCCCTGACGCCCAGGGAAGACCAAACACTCGCGTCTGGTGGGCTACTGCATCCTGCGTGCCACTTATACACAGACCTGGTTGCCACCACTTGAACCGCATGCTTCTCAAGAAAAGGAAATGTGTGTTCCTAAACCCATCTGCTCTACTTGCTATTGTAATCACTTGAATGACTTATTACGTAAACCGATGAAATATGACAGAGAAAGAGTTATTTCTATGAAAATCGACTATAAGTGCTTTGGAAAGCTGAGTTGCTTAAAGAAAATGCTGTTAAATTTGGTGTGGACAAGGAAAGCTCAGGAGGAAAAAAGTCATAAAAATCTAGAAGGATTCTGCACTGGCGTTGTTTCTCAAATGTTTTTAAATTGTCATTGTGACTGAAAAAAATCTTAGCTGGAATTTGTGCAGATCAATATTTTATGCAACGAAGGCAATGCCAATCAGGAGACTATTTTCAAAGAACACTTGTGAGCCGATGTCAAATGAATTTACACTTACTATATCTTAAAACGTCTGGATTTCTATGTAAATATTTTCTTCCTTTATGTGTGAGTGAGAGAGTCCTCACTGTAGCAGCTTTTTTGGTTAACCAGCTACCATCTGCTGTGCAAACACATGTGCAATGAAGGAGAGAGACATGGGGGGTTCCAAGGGCATGTGATGGGGCCCTGGCCTAGTGTGGGGATCAGAGATGGCTCCCTTGAAGTGGTGACATTTTAAGGGCAAGCTAAAGGGTGAGCAGGCATAGATCAGGCACAGGGGTGTGGAGCGGGCTATGCAGGAGGCTGGGCAGGCACGGGGGGAATCTTAACCCCCCTTTACAGCTGGCTCAGTTTGGGGAGAGGAGGTTGGGAGTGGGGAGCTGCCATAAGCAAAGAAAAAGCATGGTGAGGAACATTCGTGGTTGATTTCAGGGGAACCAGGAAACTGTTGGCCTCTCCCAAGACTGTTCCTTCTTGCTTTTCCTTCAGACGACAGCACAACAGACCATCCCAAAGGCCTGAGCCTGGATGCCCCAGCCCCGAGGGGACCTGGATGATCAGGGAGGGGAAGCCCTCTGGTACCTCCGTCCCAGACACACAGTAGGGCCTCTTGGAGAGGCAGGTTGGGGTAGTGTTAAGGGTGTAGCAGGTGAGTTGAACAAACCTGGGTTCAAATCTGTCCAGCCCCCTCTGGCTGTGTGACCTTTGCAGAATCTCCCTCTGCTTTTGGTCCTCACCCACAGGATTCAGTGACAAGGCCAAGTGTTTCCCAGGGTGCTTTGGGGGGCATGGGGGCTGAGAGGGTGTGTACATATGACCCAGAGAGCAAGCAGGCAGCGAGTGCTCATTCTTCTTTTCAGCCCTGCTGGTCAGGCACCATGTCCTGCCATGAGCAGGGCGATAGAAAGATCTTGTACCAGGCAGTTAGTTTTCCTGGGAGAAGGAGATTTGTGAAGACCCACAAGGACCAGGAGTCAGGTGAGATCTCCATCTTTCCTGAGACACCCAGCCCCTCTAAGGCCTTTGGTACAAGCTCCACGGTCCCGACCTGGCCTCTCACCAACAAGGTGACCAGGGGGCAAGTGACTCCACCCCTCAGAGCCTCCTCGGCCAGATGTGGAAAACGGCAGCTCCTTCAGAGACTATGGTTAAGACTCAATGGCACTGTCTGTGCAAAGTGCTTAGCACATTATTCCCGGCCAAACCCCAGGCTCGGTAAAGAGCTGCCAATATTATTATAAATAAGAATAGTTATAATGATATATTCTATATAACATTAATTATATTAATTTATCAAAACAATAATTATCATGGTACTTTATTACCTTGATAATTATTATGTTATAAATAGTTGTAATGTGTTACTATTTTATATAATATTGTTATTAATCATTATCACTACCATCAACAGGGGAGTATAAATCCACACCGCTGAAGAATATTATGTCCCACTCAGAAAGGCATGGAAACATGGCAACGGGGGCTTGAGAAGGAGGTTGGCATATTTTCCAAGCTCACCTAGACCCCAGGACCCCAGAACAAGAAAAGGAGTGGGATGCATCTTGCCACACACAATCTGTGGGGTCTTCCTGCTATTCCCGCTTCAACCACCAGAGGGCACTAAAAGCCAGACCAGAGGTTGGACCAAGGGGGTGTGTGTTGGGAGTGTGTGTGGGGGGTGTGTGTGGGGTGTGTGTAGGGGGGTGGGGGAGTGTGTGCGGGGTTGTATGTGTCTGTATCTGTGTGGGTGTGTTTTCCCCTTTCCTTCTTCATTACTTTCTCCCTTCCCTAGCACAGTCATTGCTACAGACAACAGCCCCAGTTATACAATACCTCGGAAATAGGATTTGGGGGGAACTGAAGGTCAACAGCCAACCTCTTTGTTTTCTCCAGAGATTACAAAATTTAGAGATTTCACATAATTTTTTTAATGGGAAAACCGGACACTCTGTTGCTGCCTCTCCACCGAAGGCAGGTGCTCATGAGCTCACCCAGGTAGAAAGCAGAGTTCCCACCTGGTTCACGAACTCCCTCCCCAAGTTTCCTGCCTGGTGTCTGCAGGCTCCTAAGTGCTGATTCCCTTTTGGCCTCTGTGGAATGCAGGGCAGTGGGGGGCAGGGAGCAAGGCCAAGCAGAGTGAGGGCGGGAGTCTCCGCTGGGCCCCTGCTGTTTTACCCCTGGCGGAGCACCTAACCATTCTCTGCCTAGCTGGACAGACCTGGAGTCCTATGAGACCTGTGTTTTGCCCCCAGTTCTGCCACACACCGGCTCCATGACCTGGGGCAGATGATTTGTCCTTTCTGGGCCTTGGGCCCAAGTATGTCTGGGCCAGCCCCCACGGCTGTCCAGGGCCAGGGGTCAGTGAGGACGTGCGCCCAGCTCTTGTGTGGCTCAGCAGATGCCAGCAGCTGGGGCGTTCTTACCTTGCTCTCTAATACTTCTTGGAACCTGGACTCAATCTGGCTGTGGAAGAGATTCAGCAGCCACCTGGGGATGGAGCACAGTGGACGGTCAGCTGTGTGCCCCTGAATGCAGGCACGGCAAGGGGGCTGAGAAGGCTAGGCCCCTGCCTCTGGCCAGGCCAGTCTCCAAGGGAGCCCTCTCCATCCCCTCCTGGTACCCTGCTGTGCCCCGGAGTCGGGGACAGAAGGAAAATGCAGGGCCCACCTCCAGCACACTGCCTGATTCCGCGCATCTGGCATCCCAGGCCCCTGCTGAGACCCAATCAAATCCAGTAGATTGGGGGAGGGGCTTGAGAAGCCACATTTTTCTAATCAAGGAAATTGAGAATCAAAGAGATTTGCCCATTGTGTATATTTTTCACAAACTCTTCTTTGGCCAAAAGCCTTTGTGTTCCTCCAATAGCCAAATTTCATTTGCCTGATGGTGGTCCCCTGAAGTTCATTTTTTGGTGGAAATAGCACACCAATATTCCGGCTTGAATCTGCATTTGTTAATCTCAGCAGGGCCCCCCAAGAATTGCCTCCAAGTGCCTGGGATGGGCTCCTGAATTAAGCCTGGACCCTTATGCTTATCAGATGCCAGGCCGCGGGCTGAATGGGCCTCAGGCGGCAACCAGGAGTCAAACTGGTCACTGTCCCAGCGGTGACCTACCCCAAATCTCCTGATACGTCCACCTCCACGTCAGAGATGTGGCTGCTGCAGCTGGAGACAGTGACCGTGGGCCTCCCCGAGGGCTCGCTGCCCAAGAGGAGGTTGACGGAAGTGGTGATGTCCTTCACCCACACGTCAAAGGAGCCGTCCAGTTTCCTGGAGGAGATAAGAGAGGCCAGAACTGATTCCTAGACTAGGGTTGGCCACCATTTAGGGGGAGAATAAGAAGCTCAATTCTTACCCCAAAATAAGTGGAGCTGGAGTAAAAATTTCATTCCAAAAAGTTATTACAAACATTTATTACAAAGCAAGGATTTATTATAAAGAAGACCATGGAAGATCTAGAAGAAAGCCTGGGTTCACTTGTTTGTGGTCAGGGATGGGCACAGGCCTCTCTCAGCTGGAGCAAAGTCTCAGAAGCCACTTGCTAGCATAGAAATTAAAACTTTAGTCAATAAAAAAACACCATATGCAAAGTAAAAAAAAAAAAAAAGTTGCATCATGAACCAGCCAAAGAGTTATTTCCTTATCTTGAGCTAATACACGAGCAAATTTCCTTAATACACAAAGAACAACCCTATACAAATTAATAAGGAAAGGATAAAACAGCCCAAAAGAAAAAAAAAGAGATCGAAGATATGAACAGGAGGTTCAATTGCAAATAAGCATATGAAAAGTTATTAAAAATGAAAACAATGATGCCAGCTCTCACCTATCAGATCGATAAAAGTTGTGAAGTTTTAATACCCAGTGCTGTGAGGGTGCGGGGGCCAGGAGCCCCAGACACTGTGTCCGGGACAGCACATCTGGGACACGAATTGGTGGGATCTCAATGAATTTTAACACGTGTATCTTTGGCCCAGTAATTTTGCTTCTAAGTCGTTACTTTGTGGCTCTTCCCGCCAAGATATATGTGGGGCAGCTCACTGAAACATCATGGGTAACAGCAAAAAACGAGGAAACAATCTAAATGTCAACTGGCAGGGACGGGATCAGCAAGTCCTGGGCGCCTGTGCCGTGCAGCCTTTGAAAAAGGAGACCAACGGGGCCCGCCCCATGGCTTAGCGGTTAAGTGCGCGCGCTCTGCTACTGGCGGCCCAGGTTCGGATCCCGGGCGCGCACCGACGCACCGCCTCTCCGGCCATGCTGAGGCCGCATCCCACATACAGCAACTAGAAGGATGTGCAACTATGACATACAACATTCTACTGGGGCTTTGGGGGAAAACAAACGGAGGAGGATTGACAATAGATGTTAGCTCAGAGCCGGTCTTCCTCAGCAAAAAGAGGAGAATTAGCAGGGATGTGAGCTCAGGGCTGATCTTCCTCCCAAATAAATAAATTAAATAAATAAATAAATAAATAATTTAAAAAAAAGGAGACCAATGGGGGCCGGCCGGGTAGTGCAAGCGGTTAAGTGCGTGTGCTCTGCTGCGGTGGCTCGGGGTTCACCAGTTTGGATCCTGGGCGCACCCACGCACTGCTTGGCAAGCCATGCTGTGGTGGCGTCCCATATAAAGTGGAGGAAGATGGGCACGGATGTTAGCCCAGGGCCAGTCTTCCTCAGCAAAAAGAGGAGGATTGGCAGATGTTAGCTCAGGGCCAATCTTCCTCACAAAAAAAATAAATAAAAATAAAAAAGGAAACCAAAAGTGGTCTATCTATACAAGGAAAGATTACTCATTCATGAAAAGGAATAAGGTTCTGATGCACTCTACAATGTGAATGAACCTCGAAAATGTTATGCTAAGTGAAAGAAGCCAGACATAAATGTCACAGATTGTACGATTCCATGTATATGAAATCTCCCGAATAGGCAAATCCACAGAGACAGAAGGCAGATGGGTGGGTGCCCGGGGCTGGAGGAGGGGTAACTGGGCAGTGACCATTTAACGGGTACAGAGTTATCTCTTGGGGTGATGAAAAAGTTTTGGAACTAGATATGAGTGGTGGTTACACAACATTGTGAATGTACTAAAGGCCCCTGAATTGTACCCTTTAAAATAGTTAATTTTATGTTATGTGAACTTCATCTCTATAAAAATATTACATTAAAAAAGGTAAAAAAAAAAATGAAGTAGATCTTCATCTGCTCGTATAAAGAGGTCCTTAAGATACTTCAGTGAAAAAAGCCGGGACAGAAGAATAGGGCTTGATTCCTTTCATGGAAATCGAAAGAATGTGTCTATAGAGGTGATATATATACCGAGCATCTTTCTAAAACAGTGCTGTCCAATAGAAATAGAATGTGAGCCACATAGATAATTTAAAATTTTCTAGTAGCCACATTAACAAAGGCAAAAAGAAAGGTGAAATTAATTTTAATAGTATATATTATCATTTCAATATGTAATCAATATAAAAGCTATTAATGAGATTTCTTAAGTTCTTTTTTGTACTAAATCTTCAAATCTGGGGTTTCACACTTACAGTAGGTCTCAGTTTGGACTAGCCACTTCTCAAGTGCTCCATAAAGACATGTGGCTAGAGGCTACCACATCAGACAGGGCAGTGACAGTCAGGTCACCTGGAAGAGACTGGTCAACCCTCCTGCTACAGGCTGAACTGTGTCCCCCCCAAATTCATATGTTGAAGGTTTAACCCCCAGGACCTCAGAATGTGACTGTGTTTGAGACAGAGCCTTTAGAGAGGTGATGGAGTGAAAGTGAGGCCATTAGGGTGGGCCAGAATCCAATCTGACCGGTGACCTTCTGAGAAGAGGGGATTGGGACACACAGAGAGATATCTGGGGTGCGTTCACCCAGAGGGCCACCACATGACGACACAGCAAGAGGGCTACCTGCAAGCCAAGGAAAGGGGCCTCAGAAGAAACTAAACCTGCCGACACCTTCATCTTGGCCTTCCAGCCTCCAGAATTATGAGAAAATAAATTTCCATTGTTTAAGCCCCCCAGCCTGTGATATTTCATCATGGCAGCCTGAACAGACTAATCCACCTTCCATCCAAGGACCTCAGAGGTCAGAGAACAGCTCATTGCTAGAGTTAGTGCTGCGGGGAGCCACCCCTGACCAGCGGCAGACGGGAAGGGATCATACGGCTGAGCTGGGCTAACTTAGGGATGGGCTCTGCCTCCACTGTCTCCGGAGTCCCCAGGAGGGTTGAGCTCCAATCAGCAGCCAGACTGACTCCCTTTCCTCTCTGCCTCACCACAGACCCCTGCGGATCTTTCCTTAGATCTCTTCCCAGATAAAGTACTTGCACTTGAACTCTCGCCTTGGGGTCGGCTGCTGGGGGACGCAAACTAAGACACAATATTATCTCATTTAGCTCGCCCATGACCCCATCAGAAAGCATGAGAGGGCAAGAGACTCATCTGAGAGCCAGGACTTGGACCCGGGTTGACCTCTGGGCTTGGGCTCCTCCCGCCCACCATGTGGCCTTTCTGTTGAGCTGGGAACACCTCTGACCCAAGAAAGATGGGAGGCTAAGGCTAAGGCTAAGGGCTGGAGAGCCTGGGAGCAGAGTCAACTTACACGAATGACTTGCGCACCTTCCACTTGCCGTGGACCCCGATGGAGGAGTCAGAGATGGCCAGACTCAGGCCCTGGCCGGGGAGGGGCGTCAGAGCAGAGCCCAGCAGCTCACAGCTGGAGATGTCCAGGCTGGGGAAAGAAACACGAGGAGGGCGGCCTCAGCCCCAGCTTGGTCCAGCCTCAGCCGGGAGCTTGCTCTCACCCCCGACCTCCTGTGGGGACCAGGCCAGCAGAGCCTGCTCCAGGCAGGCGTGTGGCTCCCCCACTTACCGAGCACCTGCCGTGTGCCTGCACCGACTATGCGGCCACACTAAGCGCTTTACATCCATCATGTCAGTTAGGGCTCACAGAGCGGTCCACACTGTTCTTGTGCCCTCCTCCCAGAGGGAAATAGAACCTCTCGGATGGGATGCATTTGCCCAAAGTCACACAGTCAGGATCAGAGCCCACGAATCTCATGATCCTGGGTGGGATCCGGAATCGGGGGCATAGATGCACCCCCTTTGGGTTTGCAGCTCCTTCTCCCAGCCGTCCCCTCCCCACATCCAGGTAGAGGAATCAGGTTCAGGGAAGGTCAAGGGCAGCCTCAAGACGCAAAAAGGGCTGGGAGAAGCAAACCAAGATGACGACACGTACTGTGGGGCTGTCAGTGGGAAAAGAATGGTCAAGTTCCATTTTATTTGCCTGGCACATAGTAGGTGCTCAATAAATGTTTGCTACTGCACTGAATAAAAGAAGGAATGAACAAAGCACTCAGTGGTAATGAGCAGAGGGCTGTGATGAGCTGTGGGCTCCATTGCCCTCCCTCCACTGCCCGTCCCTCAAAAAGTGTCTCATGCCTTTATTTTAACATCAGCTGCTCATGTCTAACGACCCTTTGAAGACTCAGCTCAGATGCTCCTGCCTCTGGGAAGCCTTTGTTGATGCCCCTGGATGCACGGAGACCGGCTCTGACAGTTGAGCTTCTATATTTAAAGCTCAAGGTCTATTTTCCCTTCCAGACTCCATCCAGTGGCCAGACCAGAGCCTGGATTATCACTCCAAGGAGTAGCAGCTTCGTCCCCATTTTACAGATAAGGAAACTGAGGCTCGGGTCATGCAGCCAGTAGGTCTCCATTAATCTTTCTTGAATGAACGAATGGAGGAGCCCAATTCCCTCCCAGAACCTCCCTCTGAACTCTGCGAGGAACTATGCCACGGTCTGCCCCAGCGAGGTCCCGACCCAGTCCTGGGGCTCTCCTCCCTTCCTCTGCAGACCGCCCCCCACCTGCCCAGCCACCTCGGGGCCCCGGCAGAAGGGAGCCCCACCTGTGGAACTCATAGCGCACGCGGCCGAGGTGGCTGATCCTGAAGTCCCCGGTGAAGTCGGGCAGGGCGATTCCGTGCAGCTTTCTCTGCAGACCCACCAGCCCCTCCTTGGCCACTGTGGACAGGAAAAAGCTGGGAGTCAGCCTGGTCTGCCCGCCTGCCTCCGCTCTAAACCCTTCTGTGGCTCCCACCTGCCCTGGGGAGAGAGGCCGACTTCCTTGTTAGCACTAATTACACTTACAGGTTACTGAGCCCCTCTTGCTACCATGCGGCGTGAGCAACACTCAGAAGCATCACCGCATTTTAGGTGGTGTTGTTATGTTCGTGCCCATTTTATGGATGAGCAAACAGAATGTCTTTGTCAGCAACTCCACCAGGGGAGGAGGCTGTGTCCCTGGATGGGGGTTCCACTTTCCTGTCCTTCATGGCGTCTGGCCCGGGTAGAAGAAACTGTAAGGATTTTAGGGACAGAATCCTGGCGTTGGCATCTTTCTAGCTGGGTGAGCTTGAACAATCCTCAACCTTCTCTTCCTCCCTCTGTCAAATAGCAATAGTGACAATGCTTTCCTCACTGGGGTGGCCTGCGGATTGAAGGGGGTCGTCGCAGAGTGCAAAGGGGACCGCGAGATACAAAGCACTCCGAGCTTGGCGCCTGGCACACGGCAGGCGCTCAGTAAGTGCCTGGAACAGCAAGTAGGGTTCACGTTATTAAAAATATGCAAAGGACCAAAGTGTCCAGCTCTCGAGGATCAGTTAAATGAACAGGGTACATTCACACAGTGGAAAGGAACAAAAGGCAAACTTTGCCTGATTTAGGGTTTCAATATAAACAGCATTTACTAGGACCTTCTGCTTGGTCTGAGATATGCAAGACCCAGGACTCTGCCCTCCAGGAGGGCATATGTATGCCAAGGACCAGCAGCCTCCCCTTCCACCTCTTTCTAACCTGCAGTCCTCCCTCTAGCAAATGCACATGCTGGTCTCTCTGCCAGAATGCTACCCCTTGTCTCTGGCTAACTCCCACTTATCTTTTCTACCTCACCTCACCTCTTCCAAGAAGCCTTCCCTGATTTCCCTCTCTCTGCCCCCAGCCAGTCTGGGCTCCCAACAACCCTACCCAAGGGAATGTTATTACCTCATTTAACCGATAAGGCAATTGAGGCTTCACAAATGTGAGGAGCAGCCCTCGATCAATTACTGTGGGGTGGAGTATATAGACACCCCAGATCCCTGGCCCCTTGGATGGATTAATTCTGAGGGTTTGTTTCAACATCTTTTTAAAAATAGTCCTACTTTTTCCTATCCTTTAAAATTGAGGTGTAACATACATAAAGTACCTAAAAGGCACTAATCTTAAACGTATTGCTGGGTAGTTTTTAACTGTCTGTGCACCCGTGTCACCACTCAGAGCAAGATGAAGCTTGCCCCCAGCTCCCTGCAGCCTCCCTCATGCCCCTGCCGGGTCTCCACCTGACTCCGGAGGCAACTTCCATCCTGACCTCTAGTTTTAAGGCAAGTGTTTTCAAACTTGACCAAGGATTTTCCACTGGGATCGTTTCAGACAATGGGGTGGCAGCTGGTTGAATAACACACCTCTCCTGGCTGCCTTCCTTTCCCATCTCACGTTCCCCCTCCCCTCCGGTGTTTTCTGGAATCATCTCCCAAATCAACTACCTGCACCCAAATCCTTATCTCTGTCGGCTAGTGGGGAAGCCAGCTAAGACAAGTAAGGTTCCCTAGTGGCCCAGTGGTTAGGAGCCAAGGCCAGAATCTGAGCCAAGGCCGCCTGACCCGGAAGGCTGCACCACCCAAGGGAGAGTGCCCCATCTGTGCCCTTGCTGTGCCCAGAGCAGCCAGGCGGGTCAGCCAAGCCCAGCTGATAGCCGCAGCCTCTCACCATACTCCAGGCCCTTGTCGGTGATCCTGGCAACCAGGCCAGGGCTGTGGTCCGGGGCTCCCGGGCTGGACGTGAGCAGCAATCTCAGCAGAAGAGAGAGCAGGGTCCCAGCCGAGCCTTCCATCCTGGATTCCCATTGGGGTGGGCTGGGACTGTCACAATGATGGTGGGCTGGCCCAGATCCCTTAAGTAGCCTAGGGGTGGAGGGCGGCCCTTGAGTGTGGGCGGGTTCCTGGGATCGGGAAGGGGAGGCACAGGGACCGGAAACTGCTTGCAACACTGTTGGGGTCAGAGGTCACACAGAGAAGCCCGTTGCTGCCCCAGGATCAGAGGGTGGTTTGGCCTGGCTCTGGTGACGGTTTCTGTCCACTCTTCCCACAAGAAGACCCCACACCCATTGCCGGGAAGGCCTGGGTTTACAGACCAGGAAACAGGCTCACAGCTGGGAGTCACCACCAGGTCTGGCGCCATCCAAATTCTCTCTTCCTCATATTGGACTCTGTTTATTTAAAAGAGAAATCCGCTCCACCCCCCACCACCACCCCCCATAGAAAAACAGGCTTTCCCAAATCTTGCTGGTGGTAAAATTTTCTGGAAGGCAACTTGGCCAATTTTGAAACACCTGCCTGCCTGGTGACCCAGCAAGTCTACTTCTGGAACTTGACCCTAAGTACATAATGAAGGCAGCGTGTGAATATGTCACCACACCAAGATGCCCACTGCCATGCTGGGCGAAACAGGCAGTGCAGAGTGACACCCAGCCCAAAGAGGCCGACGGAAGAGTACTGGTTAAATGAATTACGATACATTTAGAGTGATGCTGCAGGGCCCGCCCCATGGCTTAGCGGTTAAGTGCGTGCGCTCCGCTGCTGGCGGCCCCGGTTCTGATCCCGGGCGCGCACCGATGCACCGCTCCTCCAGCCATGCTGAGGCTGCGTCCCACGTACAGCAACTAGAAGGATGTGCAGCTATGACATACAACTATCTACTGGGGCTTTGGGGAAAAAAAAAAAAGGAGGAGGATTGGCAATAGATGTTAGCTCAGAGCCGGTCTTCCTCAGCAAAAAGAGGAGGATTAGCATAGATGTTAGCTCAGGGCTGAACTTCCTCATGCAAAAAAAATAAAAATAAAGTGAGGCTGCAGAAATGAATGTATTTCTTGATGCGGAAGATGCTCATGAGGGGTTGGTTTCCAAGGGCACCATACAGTGATTTGCTACTTCTTTGTTCTATTCCCATGTTTGCCCATCTGGAGATTTTTTAGCAAGAAGTTATGAGGGATTGTCTCTGGTTAGATGGGCAGGATTATGGGTGTTTTAAAAATCTTTTTGTTGCTTGGTTTTGAAATTTTTAATTTTCTTGGGGATATATTATATTCGCAGTAAGTAAAGATAACAACATTTTATTCGGAAAACAAAATTTATAGTAGGGATTGTGCTTAATTCGTAGGGATCCCTCCCCCCAGGATTCCCTATATTCATGAGCTTTGTTCTGCTTCCACCTCCAGGAAGCCTTCCCTGATACATCCACGTTTCCCTGGATTAGAGAAAAGTCTTCCTCCAAGGTCCTAGAATTCTCTCCAGTTTCTCCGTCATAGCATTAACCATTCTTTGCTTTTTCATAATTGTGGTCTTTTAAAAATATGCCCACAAATTCTTTGATACTCTTTCCATCAACAAGTGGAGTCTCTGTGCTCTCCGCTTGAAATCAGATGGGTCTTTGTGACTGCCTCAACAAATCGAAGGTGGTGGGAGCATCAGAGTTTCTTCCCAGTGGGTCATAAAAGGCACTGGGCTTGGGGTTAAGGTCAGAACTTCCCACGTTGAGCACAGGGAAGCCCCCAGGCCCCTCTGCTCCTCTGTACCCTGTTGCTCCTGTCCCTTTGACAGAGGTTGTTGGGGTCCTGTCTGTCCCCCCACCAGCCTGGTTGCCCCTGAAAGCCGGGCTGAGCCTTCCGTATCCTGCAATCTTTCTGGCATCCGGCGGGAACTGGCAGGAAATCCATATTTAATGAGCTCCTACTAAGCGCCAGACCCCGTGTTGGTTGTGCGCACACCTCTCCTGGGCCCCACGGCAGCCCTCTACGGTGGGTATTCCAGTCGCATTCTGAGCTGAAGAAACTGAGGCTCCGAGGGGTGAAGTGATTTTGGCCACGGTCGCCCAGCAGGATTTCAACCCAGATCTGTGGGACGCCGTTCCTAAAGGCTAGTCAGGGGAGGCTTCCCTGAGAAGGTGACATCTGAGCTGAGACCCTAACGAGGAGGAGTTGGCCTTGGGAAGAGCCGTTCCAGGCTGAGCAGAGAGCAGGGACAGAGGCCTGGCAGAGGGCAAGGCTCACAGACCGCTCCCCATGTGCCAAGGGCAGGTGGGGGTCAGCCTCCTGGACTCAACGCGGGGAGGGGTCCTAGGCTGGGAGTCGGGAAACCAGGCTCCCGACCTGACTCAGCCCTGCCTGGCCGTGTGACCCTCAGCAAGCCTTATTTCCTCCCTGTGCCTCAGTTTCCCTCCGTAAACTGAGGGGGCAGAGCAGGAGACTCCTGTGGGCCCTTCCAGCTCGGAGAGGGGGCAGGACAGTCTGAAGAGTGGGGACCTCATGGGGACACAGGTGCCACTCTTCCTCTGAGGGCAGTTTGAGGATGTCCCTGGCTGAGGGCCATTTGCAGGGGCGAGATTTCCCAGAGCAGTGACCTCTGGACCTTAGATCTGCCCGGCCAGCATGCCACACGGCCCCAGCCCAGGCCTCCACCCCCCGTGTTGAGTAGAGCAGTGTTGGCTGAAAAGAATTTGGGAAACCCAGGATTTGGAAACCGCAGTGCCTGGACGACTGGGCAGCACAACGGTCGATGAACGTGGACAGCGAATGAACATATGGCAGAAGACAGAGAAGGTTAAGGGCGTGGGCTCTGGGGCTGGCCGGCCTGGATTTGACTCTGTGACTCAGTTTCCTCATCTGTAGTTGGGCTCAGCCCAAGGGCAGCAAGAAGGACAGGAGGTCAGAGGTTAGGGCCCTTCCCTGCTCCCTCCTTGCTTCGGACCTCAGTCCCAGCGGTGGCTGGGTCATCCTGACCACCCTCACTCGTGGCTCCGGCCCTCCCCAGGCTTGGACCCCGACTCCTCTCTTTGCAGCTTCAAGCCTAGGGAGGCCAGTTTCCATGGCCTTGGCGTCCTTCACTGGCATCCTTAAGCCTGCCCCCAACTCTGTAAATAGCCCTGTAATTCGAACCCCAAGAACCATCTGAGTTGGATTCCGGTTTCCTGCCTGGACCCTGATTGGTACAATCAGTACACGGAGCATTTCTTCTCATTATTGATCTTTTGTAGCAAATTCCTTCCTCTTGCGGCGAGCTCTGAATGCTTTTCCAAAGTCTGTACAAGTCGTGGGTGGGAACAGTAGACTGTGACAGGCAGAACTAAAAGTCCACAGCAACCCCTGCTCTGCCACCAGGGAAGTCTCTGGGGGCCACTGAGGAAGCGTTCATAGAGAGGTGACATCCAGCTGGATGATCTTAAAGGTCACATGGAGGTTTTGTGGAGGAGAGCGCAGGGCAGTCCGGGAGGAGAGAGCAGCCTGTCCCGAAACAGACACACAGCGTGTGAAGAACTGGCGGCAAGGAAGCCTCATCTAGGCTCCGCTCCTGATGGGCTGTGTGACACGGGGCAAACCGAGTACCTCTCTGATCCTCGCTTTTCCCCCAAATGCAGATGAAGGTGGTGGACCAAGACAGCGTTTCTCAAATCACTCAGGGATCTTGTTTGTTTGTTTGTTTGTTTATTTATTTTAAAATGGGATTTTTATTGAGATATAATTGACATAGTAGTTCAAGGTGTACAGTGTGTTGAGCCGATACATTTACATGCTGCAATATGATTACCACTGTAGTCTTAGCTGCTACCTCTATCACACCACATAATTATCATTTCTTTTTTGCAGTGGGAAAAATTAAGATCTAGTCTCTTAGTAACTCTGAAGCTTACAGTACAGTATTGTTGTCTATAATCGCTATGCTGTGCACTAGATCTCCAGGACTTATTTATTCACTAGGGCCAGGTTTGTACCCTTACATAACATATCCCCAATTCCCCCACCCCCAGCCCCTGGTAACCACCATTCTACTCTCTGTTTTTACAAGTTTGGCTTTTTAAAATTCCACATATAAGTGATCTTTGTCTTTCTCTGTCTGACCTTTTTCACTTAGCATAATGCCCTCAAGTTCCATCCATAGCGTTCAAAGGGCAGGATTTCCCTTTTTCTCATGGCTGGGTAACATTCCGTGTATATATACCACAGCTTCTGGATGTGGAGAAATGGGAACGCCCGTACACCGTTGGTGGGAATGTAGACTGGTGCAGCCACTATTTAAAACAGTATGGAGGTTCCTCAAAAAACTAAAAATAGAATTACCATATGATCCAGCAATTCCACTTCTGGTATATACCCAAAGGAAATGAAAACAAGACCTTGAAGAGATATCTGCACCCCCATGTTTTTTGCACATTATTGACAATAGCCAAGACACAGAAACAACCTAAATGTCTATTGATGGACGGATAAACAAGTTATGGAATATACCGGGGATCTAGCTTAAATGCAAATTCTGATTCCTCCGGTTCCTTTGGGGGCTGAGACCCTGCATTTCTAACAAGCTCCCAGGAGATGCTGATCTTGGACTACACTTGGAGAACAAGGAACTAAATGAGCTCCAAACTCCCTCCCACATCAGCGGTTCTATAACTGTTCACTCTTATTTTCTGTGCAGTTTTCTATGATGGCGCTCGCCCTCCCGAGAACCTCGCTCTAGCTGGAAGAGAACAATGTTATGAAGACCTGTGGTTCTGGATCCCTGTAGGGTGCTTTGGAGTTGAGAATTTGATATTGATGGCAGCCCCCTTCCCAGTCCCACCATCTGCAGATTTGTGCACGTGCACGCGCGCGTGCACACACGAGCCCTGAGGCATGTGCATTTACAGAAGAGAAACAGTACTGTTAGTGACGATCCAGTGTGAAGGCGGTGTCACCTAGCTGGGGTGCTAGGAGACCCCCTGGAGCAGGGCTGGCCATGTGGATGCATAGCCCCTCACCCCAGGGGGCTCTAAGGAACCCGAGGACCCTCCCATCTCCCCCTCTACCCCCTCTCTGCCTCTGCAATTGGCAGCATCTAAAATCCCAGCAGTAGCCTCATTTCACAGGGTCTTGACAGCTTTGGGGACCCTCAGGAGCTTCTGTTAAAATGAACATTTCTCAGCAAGAAAAGATTCTTTAATATTTACCAGAGCTTACTTTATTGGATTCCTTTCCTGGAATTCCAGAGGGCCCTTGCTTTTACGGATGGGGAAACTGAGACCTGGAGAGGGAGAAGGATGGGCTCAGGTCCCACTGTGAGCCCAGCCCTGAACCCGGATTCCTGGCCAGCCAGAGGTCAGGCCTGGGTCAGGCCTGTCCAGGCAGCCAGCCCCGGATCATGTTTTGAGAATCACCGACATAGTCGCTTTGGGTCAGGCAGGTGTGGATTTAGATCCTAGATCACTTTAAAAATTAATATTGAGGGGCCAGCCTGGTGGCGTAGTGGTTAAGTTTGCAGGCTCTGCTTTGGCGGCATGGGGTTTGCAGGTTCAGATCCCGGGCACAGATCTACGCACCGCTTAACAAGCTACGCTGTGGTGGCATCCCACATACAAAATAGAGGAAGATTGGCACAGATGTTAGCTCAGGGCCAATCTTCCTCACCAAAAAAAAAAAAAAAGGTAAATATTTATTGAGCACCTACTGTATGCCAGGCATTGAGACTACAACTGTGGCAAGCCAGATCCTTGCAATGTAGTGGGAAGAAGTGTGCGCATCAATATTTAAAAGCTGACTTTGATTACTACTTGTCAGGTCCTGTAACACAGATTGCACATGTATTTGATTCTCATGATGACCCTGTGAGGCAAGAACTATTATGATCCTCACTTTACAGATGAGAAAATTGAAGTCCGGAGAGCTAACAGCCCAAGGTCACACAGCCGGTGAGTAGCACAGCTGGGATTTGAACCCACGGGGCCTGGGAGCACAGCTCATGCTCTTCGCCTCTGTGCCAGAGCTTGTTACTTCTATTGTTGATTCCTCCCAGCAACCTCACACTACAGAGGAGGGCAAGGCTTTATCTCTGCTTTTCAGAGGAAGAAATAGAGGGTCAGAGAGGTTAAGTAACATTGGAAAGTTGTCCAGCCCATGAGGGGCTCGGTTGACGTTTGAAACCAGGGCCAGGTGACTCATAGCCCAGGCCCTGAACCCCCAGCTGAGTGACCTTGGGCAGGCCACACAACCTCCCTAAACCTCAGACTCCTCATCTGAAAATGGGGCCCTGTCCACCCTGAAGCGTGAAGAGATTGGCCCAGGGTAGGGCCACTCACGGCCAATAGTGGGATGTGGCAAGATGCTGAACACAGCGGTTAGTCTCCCCGTGACCCACCTCCCCACCTCTCCCCCCACAGGGTACCCCTCCCTCACATTTACCAAATCAGCATTTCCAAAGGAACCCCAAGAGGGCGATGCTGAATCCAGAAGGGAGGCCGCTCCAATGGTGAGCTGTTAGGCCGTCTGGAATGGGCAATTCCTTTTTTTATTTTTTTATTTTTATTTTTTTTTTAAACTTTATTTTTCCCCCCAAAGCCCCAGTAGATAGTTGTATGTCATAGTTGCACATCCTTCTAGTTGCTGTATGTGGGACGCGGCCTCAGCATGGCCAGAGAAGCAGTGCGTTGGTGCGCGCCTGGGATCCGAACCCGGGCCGCCAGTAGCGGAGCGCTCGCACTTAACCGCTAAGCCACGGGGCCGGCCCAGCAATTCCTTTTTTTAAACAGCTTTATCGACACATATTTCACATATCATAACATTCACCCATTAAAAGTGTACAGTTCAGTGGTTTTTAGTATATTCACAGAATTGTGCAACTATCACCACAGTCTAATTTTAGAACATTTTCAACACCCCCAAAAGAAACCCCATAAACACGAGCAGTCACTTGGAGCAGCAGTGCTTAGCCTGGAGGGAGAAACTGCTCAAATAGTGACTTTGTAGGCAACATGGCAGATAATTTGGAGTGTGATAGGCAATGCTCCTCAAATCGCACCTCCAAACTACCTCCTGTTCCCAGCCATTAGAGGGAGGTCCCCAGGGCACAGAGTGCTCCACTGTCTTTAGGTCCAAGAATAAATGCATTTTTCTATAGAGAGTGGGGTGGGGACTGTTTTGGCAAGTCAAGCGTAGGTGTGGAAGGGGAACAACCATCTCCAAAGAGAATGGTGGGAGAGAAAGTGAGGGGGAGGCAGGGTTGTGTCCCCATCCTTACCAGCTATGCTTCCCACAGCAGCCAGAGGGGTCTTTTAAAAATACAAATTATCACAGTAGCCAAGATGTGGAAGCAACTCAAGTGCCCCTCAATGGATGAAGGGATAGAGAAGATGTGGTATATATATACAATGGAATACTACTCAGCCATAACAAAAGACAAAATCGTCCCATTTGTGACAACATGGATGGACCTTGAGGGTATTATGCTAAGCAAAATAAGCCAGACACAGAAAGACAAATACTGTATGATTTCACTCATATGAGGAAGATAAACAAACATACAGATAAGGAGAACAGATTGGTGGTTACCAGAGGGAAAGGGGGCGGGGGGAGGGGAAAAGGGGTAAAGGGACAAATACGTATGGAGGCAGATAAAAACTAGGCTGTTGGGGGTGAGCATGATGCAGTCTATACAGAAACTGAAATATAATAATGTACTCCTGAAATTTACACAATGTTATCAGCCAATATGACCTCAATAAAATAATTTTTAAAATGTAAATTACATTGTGTCATTTTCCTGCTCAAAACTCTCCAATGGTCTCCCTTATTTTTTGGAACAAAATCCAGAGCCCTTAACAGTCTTCAAGGCCTCCCAGCCTCATCCCCTGCAGTGCTCGCACTTGCTGTCTTCCTTCAGCCTCACAGGCTGCTGTTCTGTTCCTATTTAGCGCCTCCCCTAGCCTTTGGCAAATAGAAAAAGGTGCACCCTCTTGGTGGACAAATTAGAGAATGGATTTTGTTCCCTCAGTCTGGTGCCTTTTTACAGTGCACGACCTGTGCAACTGAATACTGCAGTCCTGCCTTAAATATGCCAAGCCCCAAACAGTCACGATTTTGACATCAGGGAGGAGTGGAAAGAGCATGGGTTCTGATGGCAGAAAGGGTGGGAATCCCAGCTCTGTCACATGCCAGCTGTGTGGTCCAAGGAGAGTGACTCCATCTACAAGGACTGAACAATTCCCAACGGCCTTCCAGGACTGTTCCCTCAACTGAAGTACCAGGCTAGTAGGACCCATCTAATGGCCTGAGATAGCCACATCTGCTGTCCCATGGCAGGAAACGGCCCAAAGCCGCCAAGGAAACTCACCAAGAGTCCAAGGACAGTCCGGGCTGGTGACCTGGCTTCCACAGCAGCCTGGCAAGTCATGGGGAAGTGCTAACTGCCCCTGAGGATGTGATTGACTGAAAGAACTCCACTGGCCTCTGTCACCTGGCCCAGGGTTGTGCTTTGGACCCAGTGGCCGGGCAGGAGAGCATGGACCAGGGAGCCATCACTATGGAGCCCAAGCGTGGGGCAGGGAAAACAGACTGTTCAACAGCGACACCATGTGGTGGTGACAGGGACAACAGTCACACTGGACTGATGACCACACAGAAGACAATGGGCTATGTGGCATCAATGTTCAACAGCGACACCATGTGGCAGTGCCAGGAACAACAGCCCAGTGGACCGATGGGCTCTGCAGACCTTCTCTGTCCGACATTGGAAGCAAGACTCACTTTTCCGACTAAGTAAATCCCACTGTTGGGCAGTGTGGAGTGAAAGGTGTCCTCACAAAGGAACAAGGGGAGTTTTTGCCAACAGAGGCATGTGAGGGCTCAAGAAATCATTAGAGAAATAAAGGGGCGATTGCATCTGTGCTGTACGCTGGTGCTGCAGGTACAGCCAGGGAATGAATGGATATAAAACAAGACTCAATACCATCACACGGCATTCCAAAGAAAAAAAAAGTTTTTTGTTTTTTTTTTGTTTTTTTTGTGAAGCGCAAAGGAAATATTGTGGTTATAATTGAAACTCAATTCCTGCAGGAGACATGTCTGCAGACTTAGCCCTTGAAAGAAGCTCATAATCCCCAAAATATACATCACACACTTTTCCAAGGAATAAGCTTCTGCCACGTTTAGATCACTTCTGAATCTGAGTTAGAGAAGTTTGTGAGGGTGTCTGGGTCTAGAGCTAGAGGGGGAGGCCTGGGGAAAGGCGGCCTGGGCCCCACGGGCCGTCAGGAGGCGGTGCTGACCGCCCCTCTCCTCGCGGCGTGGCCGACAGCTCCGGCACCCACGGCGACTTCAGCTGCAGCGAACATCCGCGCCGACCAGCAGGAAATTCTAGGGAGAGATGAGAACACGTCAACACTGGAAGCACACCCCTTGTTTGTGACTGTGGGGCTGCTGGGTTTCTGGAAGGAACTCTGGGAGCCTGCCTGTCGGGAAGGAGAGAGCAGAGGGGGCCTGTCTGCTGCCAGGAAGGCAGGAGTGACTGTGCGGCGCTCGGGGCCCCGCCTCTGGGCTCTGCACGGCTGCCAACCCCCAGAACCTGTCAGCAGCTTCCCTGGCAGCTGTTTCCTCCTCAGCCGTGGAGACCCCCGGCCGCCGTGGAGGCCTCCATTTGTCATCCCGGCCTCATGGCAGCTCCAGGGAGCCCTGCTCCAATCAAGGCTGCAAAACCACTCTCTTTGCTCCTTCGGGCCTTCCCTCAGAATTTTCAGAAATAAAGTTAAATTGTGCCATGGGGTCATGCTTTTTAAAAAGATGAACTTGGTAAAACGTGGGGGACACAGGGGATGTGTTTCCTCTGCTCTCTTGGCTATTTTTCTGCAGTCTCTTAGCCCCACCAGTTCCCTGGTCTGAAGAACTGGAGATTGATTGACGGGACATGGGGGTGAGGGAGAGCGAGGAATCTGGGGGGTGTGGGGTTCCCGTGGGGCCTCGAGGTTGTCGGGAAGGCCACTGTCCGAGGTAAGGAATGCAGCAGCAGGCAATGGCTTCATGGCAGAGATACCAGCTTTGTTGGGACGTACTGGGCTTGGGGGGCTCAGAGTGGGGGCACCGAGGAAGCCAGCAGATGCACAAGTCAGGAGTGTAGAAGAAACTAGAAGTGTGGCTGGGCCACTGGATGGCACAAGGGTGGCCATTAAGCCCTAGGGAGTTGATGAAAGTGACCAGGGAAAGCCAGTCGTGGGGGAAGGGCAGGGGCCTGGGCAGGAACCCCGGAGAACTCCCTCCGGGAAGGAAGGGGAAGGAGGAACCAGCAAAGGAGATGGCAACAGCCCAGTGAGAGGCGGCTGGAAAACCAGGAGAGGGGGTCTCCAAAGCCAGGAGAAGAATGCAATCCGAGGACGGGGTGATAATGTCAGATGCTGTTGGGGGTCAGGCTGGGAGAAAGGAAGGGGAGGCCGTGCATTCTGGTATCTAATCCGCCAGACACTGACCAGCATTAGACCCCACGGGCCAGAAGGATGCTGGATGCAAAGGAAGGCAGGCAACACATATTTGCCAAATACGTAAATGCATCCACTTTATAAAAGAGGCTCAGCGGCCACCAAGTGAGTCTGCTCTTACTGTGTGCAGTGTGGGGACAATGCAGTGGATGGTTAAAAGCAGGGTCTGGCTTTGACCCTGGACTTCATTGACTAGCTGGTGGCTTTCCTGAGTCTTGGTCTTTCTTCTCGGTTGTTACCAGCACCCACCCTCTGGGGTAGAAAGCGCTCAATACCGGGCTCGCCCAGAGGAAGCTTTTCGGTGCAGATTGCTAGTGTTGTGGGGGATTTGGTGAGGAGAGGCCTTCGAGACTCACCTGGTGAGACTGAAGCACCAGGTTGAAGACCTGGAGGTGCTTGAGCAGCGGGAGAGGGAAGCCTTCCTGCAGCCTCTCTGTAACGGAGGTTAAGGTAAGGACCAGGGAGCAGAAGGCGTGGCGGGCCCGAGAGAGCCAGGTGGGCGGCCTCCCTGAGCCGGCGTGCCCAGCTCTGGGCAGGGCCTGGCATGGGCACGCAGGCCTGAAATGAAGGCTGCCCTGAGTCTCCCGCCCTGTTCTCCACCACGCTCCAGGGACCCCGGACCCTCGCACTCCCACCCCGCCAGCCCCATGCCACGCCCAGGGCCTGTGCCGGCCTCTTGCCCACAGTACCGCCCGCGTCACAGGGCGGCCAGGGGCGGCTGCTTGCAGGAGTGTGGACAGCCCGTGGACATGCCAAAGGGGGTATCCAATCGCGAGCGCACGAAGCCCCTCAATGTTTAGGATGAAACCAGAGCGTGGCCAGGGGCTGGGTCCCCGACACCACCACATTCTGAACTGGAACTCTAGAGCTGAACTCTTGAACTCACTTCAAACCTGGTCTCCCAGGTCATTATGATGCAACATGTGTCAACATAGGAGGATGAATCATATTCTCTATAATAATTTGATATCTTAATTTATAATTTCTCACTATTCGAGTCACAGGTTACGTGGGCCCCTCTTTGTCTTCTTGCCCCCGCTCTGCAGAGGTGAGGGGTTTCACCAGGGTGGTGAGCGTAAGCCTTTGGCCGAGCTTGGCCCTTCTTCTCTGGCCCTTCTCTCAGAGTCGGAAAAAGAGGGCTCTGGCTTCAGAGCTGGGATCACACCCCAGCTCCATCTCTCACCTGCTCTGTGACCTGGAATAAGTCACTGAACTTCTCTGATCTTCTGTATCCTCCCATGAAAATTGGAGATATTAATAATCGCCCATCGCATGGGCTGTCATAAGGACTGGATGTAATAATGGATGGGCATGAAGTAGGAACTCAACCCACGTGAGTTCCCTTTTCTGGGTCAGATGCCATTTGAGGTTCGTGTGAGGTGACCAGCCCCCACACCTGGGGCCGGGCATTAGGTGGCTCTACAAATTAACCCTACCACTTCCCCGAGGACTAAAACTCAATTGTTTCTCCAAAGCTCCTTACCGTTGACCTTGGGAAGCACAACAGTGGGTATGGCATAGTTCATGATGTCCTGCAGTAACTCAACCTGAAAATCAGAGAAGGAGGGACCCCCATCAGGACACTGCAGCATCGGCAGTCCTCCGTCCCCCCCTCACACGCAGGGCAACCCCACAGCTGGGAAAACCGCTGAGAGATGGACGGACTCTGCAGCCCGATCAAGGTCACTGAAGTGATCTCTTTTGCTCTAAAGCCTGCAGGTGTAAGGCACATTCTAGACTGTAGGTGCAAGGCAGAGGTAAGGAAGGTCGTCAGAGCGGATTTAAACATGAAAACCTTTGTGTAAGAAAATGCATCTTCTCAGACACTGTGCTCGAGGGCAAATTGGTTCCATCTTTCTGAGGGCTATTCAGCAATGTTCATCAAAAGCCTTAAAAATGTGTGTGCCTGGTGGGCCAGCAAACACACCTGTGAGGCATTTATCCTAAGGAAATGACGTAGGGTGTGGCAGAAATTTAGATGCAAGGATGCTCACCAGAGTGATAAATTTAACCAAAACAATAAATTAAAAGCAACCTACATGTCCAACACTTGGGGAATCATGTGGGGGACATGGAGGCACTGTGATTCCAGGAAATACTATGCAACTGTTAAGAATGATATTGTAGAAATATCGTTATCAACACAGAGATATTCATCATATATTTTTGAATAAGGAAAAGTAGGCTATAGAAACGACGTAATTCCATTTCATTAATAAATATGCATAGCAAGAGGTCAGGAAGGATATACTCCAAATTATTAACTAAGTGGTGAAAATAGCAATGGTTTTTATTTTCTTTGCTCTGCATATCTATAGATTCTGATTCTTCTACAACGTATATGTTTTGCTTTTGGAATAAAAAAAATTTTTCAAAAATAATGTAACACCCTGGGTCGACCCCGTGGCTTAGCAGTTAGGTGCGCACGCTCCGCTGCTGGCGGCCCGGGTGCGGATCCCGGGCGCGCACCAATGCACTGCTTCTCCAGCCATGCCGAGGCCGTGTCCCACATACAGCAACTAGAAGGATGTGCAGCTATGACATACTACTATCTACTGGGGCTTTGGGGGGGAAAATAAATAAATAAATAAAATCTTAAAAAAAAAATTAATGTAACACCCTCAAGATGATTGCCTGTCGTGATGACATTTACAACTTGTAAATATGTACATTTTTGTTTCTGGAACAATTGAGTTTCTTTCCCCGGGCTGTAATTCCCTGAGCTCATCAAATGTAGTGCCCTTCTTCCCACAAATCTGGGAACTTTAAGTTTTTATTTTCTGCAGGAGCAGAAGCTGGTTACTGACTGGGTCGAGCCGCAGTGAGAGCCTTGTCACCCGTAAATCCGTGAAAATACAATGAGGCTGCTTAGCATCCTTCTGTTTGTTGTAATCTAATCAGATGGAAATGGCTGACTGGATTTGCACCAGATTTGGAGGGGACATTGGGACAGTCTGACTTTGGGGCTGGGTGGCTTCCAAGGCACCCACTTTGTGGGGATCTTGGGGGGCATTTCAGAGATCTAAGGAAATGTTCTCCAGGGGTTCCACAAGAGGCCTCCTGGGAGATTCAGGCCACATGTAGTAAGACACTGTAGATAGAATCAGCCCGCTGGGGCTTCTAATGGAAGTCACAGGGGTGATGCTAATTCAGAACGGCTACTGAAGAGCATTTTAGCTGCTACCTACATGGGCAACTCGCCACCAGAGCCCCGGTGGGGGAGGCAGGAGTGAGCGTCCTTAATGATGGGCAGTGATTCAGGGAGTGAAATCATCTACCCGGGCTGGCGAGATACCTGCTCCCCTCCCTCCCACCTGCCCTTCCCCATCTCAGTAAGGGACTCCGCCATCCACCCAGCTGCTCAAGCCAAAAATCTAGGGCATTCTTCATTGCCCTTTCCCTCACCACACACATCAATTCTCTCACCAAGTTCTGTTCAAGTCTACTTCCAAAAATGCCTCCAATCTACCATCTTTCTCCTCCCTGGCCTGGTCCCAGCCTCCATCATCTCTCACATAGACAAATGTTCCAGCCTCCTCACTACTCTATGTGGTCTGACTCTCGTCCCCTGATATCCATTCCCCCCGCCCCAGCCAGGGGCATCTTCGATAGAGGTATAAATCAGATCATGCCACTCCGTGCACAAAATAGTTCACTGGCTTCCCACTGCCCTTGGAACACAGTCTTGCTGGCACAGAAGGCCCTGGTGAGCCGGCCCCTTCTTGCCTCTCCAGCCACGTCTCCTCCTCTGCCCGCTACAGCCTCTGTTCCAGGCCACTGGCTTCCCTCCATTCCCCAAACACGCCAAGGTTCTTCCCACCACAGGGCCTTTGCCCCTGCTATTCCTTCTGCCTGCAACAGATCTTCCCTTGCTAGCTCCTTCAGCCCAAATATCACCTCCTCAAAGAGGCTGTCCCTGATCACACGGTCTGACCTCAACCCTCCCCAGCACTTTCTACCCCAGCTCCATGTTGTTTTTCATTGCACTGATCATGACTGAAAGGATCTTCATTTCTTACTGTCTGTTTCCCCACTATGACGTAAGACTGTAGAAGTGGTTGCTTCCCTGTCTTCTTCAGCATATCCCCACACCTGGAACAGTGCCTGCCACATAGTAGGTGCTCAATAAAGTCATTAACTTGTTCATTCAACAAACATTTGTTGAGCAGACTTTCCGTAGTAGACTGTGCACGTTGAATTCCATTTATATCTCACCGCACTCACTCAGGTAGAAGGATCATCCCTGACTTGAGGGGAAGGTCTGAAGCTCAGAGAGGGGAAGTGACTTGCCCAAAAGGCCCACAGTAGGTAAGCGCAGAGTGGCCATTCCAGCTCAGGTCTCTCCACCCACAAAGCCCTTCCCATAATTAATTCACATGCAAAGTATATGCAAATGAGCCAGTGGCCTCTGGACATGATGCCCTGAGCCCAAGTGGCCCTCAGGACAGTTATCTCAAGATCAGGGGAAGGAAGGAGCCACCAGGGGCCTCAGACTCACCGGGAAGGAGCCAATGCTGGAGTGCTTCAGTTCCAGGAGCAGCCTGTGAGAAACGGAGGGGAGGGCTGAGACCACCATTCACCTGACCCCGAGGAGAGCCCAGTTGCTGGGGAGAAGGGGCCCATTCTGATGGATGCCTCATGGTTCCCCCCCCAGTACCCCTATCCTACATTGTTAGTGCTGGGCTCTGGGGTGGGCTGGCCAAAGGGCAGAGTCCACCTCCTCTGCAACAGGGATTGCTTCAAGGATGGACCTATGGCCCATGCTGGCCCAGTGAGAGGTGGTCCCAGGACTTCTGCTAGAAATATCGGGAATGAGGTGTTCTCTTTTCTCCAGGAAAATTAGGGAGATGCTGGTGGCCCTTTTTGCCACCAGTTGGTGACAGCCTGCTGGGAAATGAAGCCAGCATTAGGGGATGGCAGAGCCAAGAGAAGGAGAAAGCCAGAGTCCTAAGGACATTATTTGAGCACCTGGATTCACCCTTGCCTGAAACCCTTGGACGTTTCGGTTACTTGAGCCAATAAACTATCCTCTCTTTACAGCCTTTATGGCATTTTAACAGTGATCTCACAGAAAGGGGGAAATAAATGGCTGTTTGTTGAACCCCTATCATTCACTGTGATGGGTGCTTTATCCCACTGGATTCCTGTAACATCCTAAGAGGCAAGAACCATCACACTCCCATTTACAGATGAGGAAACAGAGAGGTCAAGCAACCTGCCCAAAGTCACACAGCTAACAATTAGCAAAGCGGAATTTCAAACAGGTCTCCCTGGTGCCAAAGCTCTTGTTGTCTCCAGTGCCCTGCAAAGCTTGAAAACTCGCTCCTGTTCACCCAGAGTTGGGACCCCCAGCACTCTTGCCCCGTGGACTTGCACCACCTCCACCCCTGCATATTTCAGAAAGTCTGTGCTCAGCCACCACCCAGCTGTATCCTCTCTGGAGCCTCTACTTGAGAGGCCCGTGGGTATTTCAAGGAAAATTAAATCCACATGTTTCTGAAGCAGTAACACTTGTCAAAATGATGCCAGGAGAACTGAGCAGTATAGAAACCTTGGGAGCCGATCTCAAGGTGAAGAAGGACGGCTCTGTGCCAGAGAGAAGGGGGAAGTGAGCAGAAATGTGGGTCAGGACTCAGTTTAAACAGCGTGGGGGCCGGCCCGGTGGCGTAGTGGTTAAGTGCACACGTTCCACTTCGCGGCCTGGGGTTCGCAGGTTTGGATCCCACCGACGCACTGCTTGTCAGGCCATGCTGTGGTGGCGTCCCATATAAAGTAGAGGAAGATGGGCACGGATTGTTAGCTCAGGGCTAATCTTCCTCATAAAAAAATAAATAAACAGCGTGAATGTGATTAAGAAGTAGACGCCAGGTCTGAGTGTCGGGGTCACTGCGTCTACTCTCTCCAAGGGTCTCCTCCTCTCTCGCCCTCCTCTTCCCTCCTTTTGTGTCTCTGTCTCTCAGAGTCTCCCTCTTAATGTGTCTCTCCATCTGTCGGGCTGTCTGTCTCTCTTGCTGTCTCTTTTTTTTCTATGTCTCTCCTCTCCCTCCCTTTCTTTGTGTGTGTGTCTCTGTTTGTCTCTCCATCTGTCTCTGTTTCTGTCTCTCCTCTATTTCTGCATTTCTCTTCTTCTGCACATCTCTCTCTTTCCCTCTTGCTTATCAAGTGTCCCAAACTCTTCCACTCATATTAATACCTCATTTAATCCTCACAATGATGCTGTTGGCGAAAAACAATTGTTGGGCTTTTTTGACTGCAGGAAAACGAAGTTTGGAGAGTCTGGTGTTGCCAAGGCGAGCCGTGCTTCAGATGCAGGCAGGCTCCACGTCAGAGCCCACACGCCCAACCACCACTTCCATTGCCGGATTCAAACCCAGTCACGTGGGTTCCAGAGTCTCCCAGCAGAGAGCAGCTGATGGAGTCCCAAGGATGGGGTGTGAAGAGGCTGCAGTGGGTTTTCCAAGTGCCAAGGAAGGCCAGGGATGTGGGGTGGCTGGGGGCTGCCGTGGTTCAGTGTGGAGTGGAGTCATCAGCTGGCCCTGCCCAGCCATCAGTTGGCCCAGGACTAAGGGGTGTCCCGGGACCCAGGAGTTTCAGTGCTAAAACTGGGACACTCTGGGCAAACTGAGCTAGTTGGTCACCGTACAATGTGTGGCCTTGGGCAGGTCCCTTCGTCTCTGAGCATCGGTCTCACTGTCTGCAAAATGGGGACCCTGTGCCCCCGGTGCACTGTTTGAGGCTCAAACATGACGGAGGAACAGGAAAGCAACGAAACAGTGCTTGGCACATGGTAAGGTCATGGCTAGCCCGTGGGTACCAAAACGGACGGGCAGCCCTCTCCTCCCGTCCCCCACAGGCCCACTTACTTGTCCATCTTGATCTCTCCAACAAACCTGTTGGACTTGACGCTGACATTCACGGAAATTTTCGTGTTCTGCAAAGCAGCAACCCAGGAGGTGAAGTCCTGACCCAGGGCCAGGGGCTCTGCGAGGCCTCCAGCACTGGGAGGGCCAGCTTCACAGAGGGTCAGACCCACAGAACCCAAGGAAGAGGGGACTCTTCCTTTGCTTTGTGCTCGTTGATGAGTCCCAGACTGTCAACCAATGACCACTTTCTCCCCTCTGCTTCCGAGACCATTTCCGAGTTCCCAGGCCCCTGCCCTGGACTATGTGAGACACTGCGGGCTGGAGTCCCGGCCAGCCCTATTCTCACAGCCACTCATTCATTTATTCATTCAACAGATATTTACTGAGTTGGAAAACCGAGGTTCCCACCTCAGCCTTCCTGCCCACTGTCTGTGTGACCCGAGGTGACCCCCTCAGAACCCATGGAATCTGCAAAGTGGGGAAAATGGGTCTCCCTTTTCTGGAGACTGGAGACTGGGCAGAGCTGCCCGAGGCCTGTGAGTGCCTTCTGGCAGGGAGAGAGTCCAGCCGTCTCTCCTGGTGGCCGTAGTGGGTGCCACCAAGTGTTCGTGGAGTGACAGAGTGATCAAATGAATGAATGCACAAATCAACAAGGGAATAGCAACTTGAAGGAGGGAAGGATTAAACACCCAAATGAAAAAATAAACAAACATGCGTGGGTGAATAAACGAACAGATGAACAAATATACAAGTGAATGATCAACTAAACAAAGGTATAAGTAGACGAGTAAAGGAATGATGGGATAAGTGAATGCATGTATGAAGCAGAAAAGGTATATTTCAAGTCAGCAATCTAATGAATAAATGAATGAATGAATGAACAAATACACAAATGCGTAATCGAAGGCCCTTAGATAGGAATGAATGAATCAGAAGCAATACACATATTTCAAGCCAACGACGGGATTAATGATTGAATGAATGGATGAATTAGTGCAGTGGCTCCGCTCTCAGGCCCTGGAGCCACAGAGTCCAGGTTTAAATCTGGGTGGGACTCACACTGGGCCCCCTGACTCCAGGGACAGTGCTCTCGGCTCTGTCCAGGGCTCCCCTTCTGCCCACGCCTGGGAACAGCTTACCATCTCCAGCAGGAAGAGTGGGGCCAGAGAGGAGTTGGGGAAGACGGCGTAGGCCTGGGCGTCCACGGAAGGGGTGAGGACAAGGCCAGCAGGGCTCATGGTGAGGTGTGGCGGGGAGGCGGCCCCGATGACGAACTGCACCTTCATGTTGGGGAAACTTTTGGCAACCTGCAGCCCCAAGCAGGGACAACCAACAAAGGGAGCAATTTTATTAAAATGTTTCTAAATCCTATCTTGTCCCGGCCCTGCAGAAGCACCTCCAATGTCTTCCCACTGCTTTTCAAATAAATATTAAAGACTGCACGATCTGGCACCTGGAGCCCTGCCAACCTCACCCCACATCCCTCTACCCCTTACCCTCCAACCCTAGCCACATGGGACTCCTGTTCTTCAAATATGACCTGCTCTCTTCCTGTCTAAAACCCTTTGCACTCTCTGTTCCCTCTCCCTGAATGCCTGTCCCCCTACTCTACCATAGCTTGGCTCTCTCCCTTCCTTCAGGTCTCAGCTCAAATGTTGCCTCCTAAGAGAGCAGTGGTGGCTTCAAGGAGCAACTGAGGAGGGCTTTGGGGCGCCTCACCTCTTCTGTCCTCCAATAATCCCCCAAGTCAACGCATAGTCTGGGTAAAAATAGTGTGATTGTTATGCAAATTAAGCTTCAAGTAATTCCCCTGGCCCCACCACCATTCACACCTCTTCCACACCAGTACCTCTTGTATGGAAATTTCTGAAAGTGTCACCACTGGAGAGGCTGTTAAGGACTGAATGTTTGTACCCTCTCCAATTTCCTAATATGGCAGCCCTAACCCCCAGCGTGGCTGTATTTGGAGACGGGGCCCTAAGGAAGTAATTAAGATGAAATGATGTCATAAGGGTGGGGCCCTGATCCTATGGGATTAGTGTCCTTATAAGAAGAGACACTCATGCTCGCTCTCTCTCTCTGCAGGTGCTCAGAGGAAAGGCCACGTGAGGACACAGTGAGAAGGTGGCTGTACAAGACAGGAAGAAAGCCCTCACCAAGAACAGAATCTGCTGGCACTGTGATCTTGGACTTCCAGCTTCCAGGAGTGTGAGAAATAAATTTCTGTTGTGGCATTTTGTGATGGCGGCCTGAGCTGACCGAGACAGAGACTTTCCTGATGGCCTTGTCTAACGTGACCTCATCAACCTGGTGGCTTCACTTTTCACAGCCTGCATTTTCTTTTTTGGTGTTTTGGGCGCCTGAATAATCATTTTCTCTCTTCCCTGGATTGTAGCTCCGGGAAGGCAGAGATATGATCTGTTTTGCTGGATGCCCAGCACAGGCCCCCGGCATGGCAGGCACTCAATAAGTGTTTGTTGAAGGGGTGGGCCCCCAGAATCTACCTCACACCTGGGCACCCGGGCGCTTGGAGACTTACTCTGCCCTGGGGACAGGCTGCACAAAGCTACTGCCACTCTCTCAGGTTGGGGAGCCTCTAGATCTGGAGACGGGGCTCCCAGGAAGGCACTCAGCAGAACCCGGTCTTCCCCAGCACCTCCTGAGCTGACTAAAGTGGAGCAGGTGCCTTCTTACCTGGGGCAGGAAGCTTCCAAAGAATTTGGTTGTCAGTCGGAAACTGGATTCCTTTGGAATCTGTAGCAAGAGAAGAAGAGAAAAGGATTCTGGGGAGTTGTTACAGATCGGGGGGAGCGGAGCAAATTCCATACGAGGAGTGAGAGACTGAACGTACAAACAGACGATGGCCAGACAGGATACGACAACAGAACCTGACCCCCAACTTCTGCAGCAATTGGCCCAGAAGGGTCAGCACGTGCTCGACCAGTGACTGCCAGCTTCCCTACTTTTTTGCCCCTCAAAATCAAATATTTCAAGTCAAATATGCTCCCCAAACCAATAACATAGGATGCCCGGCTTCTACTAGCCCCCCTCCAGCTTCCCCACGCCAACAGCCTCCGCAAGAGGAAACCTGAGGGCTCCCTTTTCTCTCTGTAAAGCTCTCCCAGCCCCGCCTGCCTTTGAGTCTGCCGGACGCAAGTGATGGCGGCCGACCCTGGTCCTGACGAGTTCTCATGCGGAGGGTCTTTGTTTATTTCCACAGGGGACGTGTGGGGCTCTGCATTCATTTGGGACCACTACGGAGAGGGCAAATCTGGCACCTCTTCCAGGAGCAGCGGAGGAGGAACCCCATGATGTTGGTGACCAGGTTGAGACGAGCTTGACCTAGACTCTGGAGAGGATGGTCATTTCCTCATTTGATAGATGGGTAAACTGAGACCCAGAGAGGGACTTGGCCATGAACAGAGACAATGATGATGACGCTAACGGTGGTGTGATGCTAAGACTGGCTTACAGAGCCTGACACACAGCAGGCACTCAGCCAGTGTTGGCTGTTACTTCTACTCCTCATCCAGTGCTCCCTACACGCCAGGTCTGTGCTGAGAGCTTCTCGTGCAGTCATGTCTTGTTTAATCCTCATTACACCCTTCAGAGGAAGATGCTGGTATTGGTGTTTTATAGATGAGGAAACCGAGGTTCTGAGAGGTTGAATAACTGACAAAGGTCACCCAGCTGAAGAGAGGGGCACTGACATTGGAACTCAGGTCTGGCTGACTCTAGAGTGCAGACCTGGATCTCCCCCAGTGTGGACAAAGACCCAGATCCAAATCCATACACTCTGAGTCCAGTGCACTTCCCACATCCTCCCCAGCCCGGCTTTACCATGTCGTCCTTGAGGGTCATTCTCAGGATTCCTGCCTTGTGGTACACCAGCCCGGCTGTGTTGAAGAAGTAGTCGGAGAGGCCCAGGTACACCATGCGGTCGTGGTCAGCGGGAAAGGCCAGCAGAGGAGGAGCGAAGGGTGGGGGGTCGTGGTGGGCCAGATTGAAAAACTCCCCCTGCGGTGGAGGCGACAGAGTGAGCCCGGGCCTCCTTAGGAGTTATAACTCGACATGTCCGTTCCAGGAGAAAATGGGCTGACGACACCAATCCTACGTTCACAGAGGAGACGCCCGCGGCGGGAAACCGACAAGAGCATCAACGCCTCCTGGGCACTGGGTTCCAGGTGCTTTTCACGCCAACCCTGTGAGGTGGGTGTGGTCACACCCATTTTACACAACAGGACACTGAGGGACAGGGAGGTGACGTGACTTGCCCCAGGTCCCTCGGGGGTACGTGACAGAGCCAGGAACTGACCCCGGCTGTCCAGGGTCCAGCAGCACACCCCCAACCACTCCACCCGCTCCTCCTCAACCTTGCGGATAAGCACAGAAATTCTCCTAAAGGACCAATGAGATTCTGTTTGTTTTCATCTATCAAACTAGCAACATTTTTAGAGAGAGAGGTAAACTGTTTTGAGCGTGTATGTATTTTAAACCCATACTCCCCAGTTTTTGGTGAGAGCATTCATCCGCTGCTGGAGACTATAGGTTTATATGTTTCTGAAGAGCAATTTGGCAACATGCTGCAAAAGCAGATCATTTATTTAGCTAAAAAATAATAACGTTGAGTTATAAAAGAGCCAATTGTAGATGGATACATATGGTAGGATACCATTATGTAAAATTGAAAGGCCTATAAAACATGCTGTAGAAGAAATGTTGACACACACAGATATGTAGTAAAAGTGTGCAAACATCGCCAAGAAGGCCACACAGTGACGTCATCAGCCTGATTACCTCACGGGGTGGGACAGGCAGGTTTGGCGAGGGTGACCAAGGGGGCCTGGGCTATTTATTTTTACAACGTTTCCTTTCAAAAAACCAGAGGCACATGTGACAAAAGGGAACATTTCTTAAATCTGGGTGGTGGGTACGTGAGAGAGCGTAATATTCTCTGTACATTTGAATCGTTTCCTCATTTAAAATTAACAACCGGGCCAGCCCCGTGGCTTAGCGGTTAAGTGCGTGCGCTCTGCTACTGGCGGCCCGGGGTTCGGATCCCAGGCGCGCACCGACGCACTGCTTCTCCGGCCATGCTGAGGCCGCGTCCCACATACAGCAACTAGAAGGATGTGCAACTATGACATACAACTATCTACTGGGGCTTTGGGGAGAAAAGCGGAAAGAAAGGAGGAGCAGGATTGGCAATAGATGTTAGCTCAGAGCCGGTCTTCCTCAGCAAAAAGAGGAGGATTGGCATGGATGTTAGCTCAGGGCTGATCTTCCTCACAAATAAATAAATAAATAAATAAATAACACTGTTTAAAAAATAAAATAAAATAAACAACCATGCTACTCATATTATAGATGACCACGAGACTCTAAAAATAATAAGATGGACAAATGCACCAACCAGGACTCACCCCTAATGCATACTGTTAGGTGAGGAGAGCCAGTGGAAGAACCCTGTGTATCCTTGCAGGCAAACAGACTAGCAGGACAATCGCGATGGGCTTTCACATCCGTTATGTGAACGCTTAGAACCAGGGCTGTGGAGGGTTGACGTCCCCCAGGGCTGTCAGTCATTACTCTAGGCAGCAGCCCGGGGTGGGGGGGGGGCTGTAAACAGGACATTCTCATTCCTCATCCACTAGGGATAATTATGTATCATTTAAATCCTTTATTCTGTTGTATCACTTAGACTTTGAAAAAGTATGTTATGTGGACTAGCCATTCCACTGCTAGGAAACACTCAAGATGAGCAGAGATCCAGCTACAAAGATGTTCACGGCGGCTCTGGTTACGTTTGTGGAAAAAATGGAAAGAGCCCAAATGTTCCAGGAGGGGGCACCGTCCACCTACTTCATCACAAGCTGTCCCCTGAACGCCCCAACGCCAGAAAGGGCTACAGGAGGACATTTCACGGAGAGATGTCCATGTTACACTGTTCTGTTTTTTAAAAGTTGTAAAACAGTATGTTGAATACAATCCGTGTAAATATATGCATGTGTATTTATTTCTATGTCTATACATGTGTGTTTTGTATGAATTTGTTTTGGCATCTTTGTGTGTGTGTGTGTGTGTGTGATTTCCTGTGTCTCGGCACAGACAAGGATTGGAGGATTGGAGGCATCTAACTCGGGTGTCAGTAGTGCGTATCTCTGAGTTGTCGCATTTGGGTAATCTCTCTCTCTCTCTTTCTTCTCTTCCCTCCCTCCCCTCCTCCCCTCCCTCCTTCCCTCCATTTATTTACTCCTCTGCTCCTCTGTAGTTTCTAAATTTTCTTTTTTACATCAAATGTGTTTCAGAACAAACAAGCCCATCACCAACCGTGGAGGGACCGGATGAGGAACCTGCGGAGGGAATTCGGGGAGTGGGACCTGCTCCAGCTGAGCTGGTCAGGGAAGGCTGCTCCGGGGGAAGTCAGAGCACAGACCCCCTGGAGGGTAAGAAGAAGCCAGCGGGGTGGAGGGGGGCGTGGGGGGGAAGGGCGTTGAGGCAGAGGGAAGGGACAGGACAGAGGCGATGTATTGAAGAAGGGCGAGGCTAGTGTGTCTGCTGGAGGGGGGAGAGTTGGGGGAAAGTGGCATGAAATGAGATTCCCTCCAGCCAGTAAATGCTTACTGAGCACCTACCACAGGCCAAGCGTGGTTCTCAGTGCTGTGCATGCAGTAAAGAACAAAGCAGTCCCAGCCCTTTCTCCGGCATCACAGTGAGAGAGACAGACTTGCGACAGTGTGTGTGTGCGTGTGTGTGTGTTAGTAATAAGTGCTGCTGAGAAAAATAAAGCAGGCTGTGGAGGAAGAGGAGCGAGCTCTTTCAGTGATAGTGGTCTGGGAAGCATCTCCAGGGAGAGGATATTTGAGCAAAGACTTGAAGGAAGGAAGGGAGAGCTAAGGTGGATATCTAGGGGAGAGCCTCCTGGGCAGGAGGCACAGTAAGTGCAAAGGCCCTGGGGAAGGAGCCGGCACAATACATTTCAGGAATGGCAGGAGGCCGGTGTGGCTGGAGCAGAGAGAAGATGGGAGAGTGGACTGGGAGAGCGGTGAGGATAGAGAGGAAGGGGGTGGAGTCATTGTAAGATTTGTTTCCAAGGATGACGGGGAGCCCCGGGAGGGTCTGAGGCCAAGGTGTGAGGGTACATGATCCTCAGTGTAGGTCTCACCTTCAGCTGCCCATCCAGGCTCTCAGCCGTGGCTTTTGGAGGTGCCACCAGCGAGTAGTCGATCCCAGCCACTTTGTCTATTTTGGCTGTCACTAGAGGGAAAGAAGACGGCCCGTGAGCTGGCCCCCCCCGGCGGCATCTTTGGGGTATGGCACGCAGGGTTAGCATCCTCTAAAGTTGAATCAAGAACTGCAGTGCCGTTTCCATTCCCACCTCCTCCAGGAAGCCCTCCCTGAGTTCCCTTTAAAGGAAAATGAACCCCCACCCCACATTCACAGAGAGCATCTCCCTCTCTTCTTCCAGCAGCCCTGAGATGCAGCTAAAACACAGGGTCAGGGAGCAGAGAGACCTGGGCTTGAATCAAACTCTGTATGACCTTGGACAAGTCCTTTCACTTCTCAGAGCCACCTTCTGTCATTTGTAGGACAGGGCAGTACTAGTGACCTCACAGATGCCCTGTACATGGTAGGGGCTCAAAAACCAGAAGGAGTCCTTATTAGCAGTGATAATATCCTGGGCTGAGCCCAGACGGGCTCGGGTCTGAACGGCTTCTCTGTTCCCCAGCAGTAATCCATGAGGATTAAACAGATATTTACCCCTCCTCAGCCCTTACTTCCTATGTCAGAGGAGAAGAAACAGGCTCAGAATTGGTAACTTGTCCAAGACGGCACAGCCGGTGAGTGGCGGCGCTGGGTCTGAGTCCCAGGGGCAAACCTTGGACGCTGCGACTGCACTGAACATGCCCAGGATGGGCCCTGCCCGGGGTGGGGGGTGTGGGGGCTGGGCGGTGCCCGGAGGAAGGGAATACGTCTTAAATAGGCGTGTACCGTGTGCCGGTCAAGCCGGCCTCTGGGGGAGGCAGCCCAGGCTGCAGTTTGGGGCATGGGTTCTGGAGTAAGAAACCTAGATCTGAATCCTGCCTCTGCTTCTTACTGCCCTTGTGACCTTGGGCAAGTCACGGCTCCTTGCTGAGCCTCAGTGTCCTCGCGGTAACTTTGGGAGAACACAGTGACCTCGGTGAGGTGTCGGGGGTCGAGAGGAGACAGTTCTGCAGGGTGCGTGCTGCGTGGTGAGCACTCGGCCAGAGGGGTCCGCCCCCCCCCACCACAGCTCTTCAGTTTACCGAGCACTCGGGAATAGAGAGAATGGTCCCCATTTTAAAGATATGGAAACTGAGGCCCAGAGAGGAGAAACGACCAGCCTCAGATCTCAGGCCAGTTAGGTGTCTCTGGCTTCAGAGAGCTGGGGGTATTTGGTGGTTTGGCCCCTGCAGGGGAACGAGCAGGGGTGGGCTGCTTTTCCACCCACCTTCTGGACTTGCCACAAGGCCGTGGCCCAATAGTGATGCAATGCCAACCACCCATACCCACCCAAGCCCAGGCCTGCCCGGGAAACTCGCTGGCTCCATCACACTCTCTCTGTCTCCCTCCCCTCTCCCTCTTCTACTCCAGCCTCCTTGACCCAGCCCAGCCCTCACCTGGCAGTGTTTGCAAATAAGGCTGCAGCTTGGAGGACACAGTTCGGGTCACTACCTCACAGATCTGGGGAGAACAAAAGAAGCGATCAGTGAGGGCTTCCCATAGTGGAAAATGTCCTTTGGGAATAATGATCCCGACATGTTTTGCTTGCCTTGAATATTTCCTTGAAAACCATTTAACTAATCAAGTTTCCCTTTACTCTTTGGCCACCAGGAAGCTCAGAGTCCAACATGTAGCCTGGAAATAGTAACTGGATATCACTGCATGACCTGCATATCCACATTTTATTTCCTACTCTGGTGTGGAACTTTCCTGATGGGCATTTACGTTTTCTACTTTTTAACGTGGGACTTTTTTTTATTTGTCTATTTATCTGTTTTTGCTGTCTCAGATCCTTTGTGGAATGAGGTAGTGAAAGAACAAACAGGAGGTGGTCAGCTGTCAGCCTTCTGCTGTCTGTGCTTCTGGGAGCTCAAGTCTGGGTGGGCACCCTCACCTTTGCTGTGTGTGGCCGGAGAAGCCCTCCCTGACCTCCGCCTCCCCTACATGACTCACAGAGGAACAAGCACTGGTCTGAGAAGACCTGGGTCACACGCTGATTCTACCGCTGAGGAATTGCTCCATTTCTCTAGACCTCTGTTTTCTCATCTGTAAAATGGGACGTGGCAGGTTATATTTCCCATTCCACTTGCTCTTCTGGAATGTGGTCCTGCCACACGAGAGGTGGAATCTGCGACCTCTCCCCTAGAATCTGGGTGGATGTGGTGACTCACTTCCAACCAATAGAACATGGGGGAAGCAACGTTGTGTAACTTCAGAGGCCAGATCACAAAGGCTGTGCAGCGTTCACCGTGGTCTCTTGAGATGCTCCCTCTGGGACCCAGTGAGATGCTGTGAGCAGCCCCAGCCCCCTAGAGGGGCCTGAGGTTGTTGTTCCTGTCAACAGCCCCAGCTGAGCCAAGCTGAGCCAAGCTTCCAGTCTTCCCAGCCCAGGCACCACGGACGTGAGAGAAGACCCTTCCAGATGATTCTAGCCCTGAGCTTTGGAGTCTTCCCAGACGAGGCCCAGACATGGCAGGGCAGAGACAAGCTAAGCCGGCCCCGCCGTGCCTGTTGATTTCCTGACCCATGGAATCCACGAGCATCATAAAATGGTGGTTGCCTTGTGACGCGGTATTTGGGGCTGTTTGTTTCAAAGTGGTGAACAGCCGGAATACAGGATTACACGCACAGCCTCCCCTAACTGAAGGCATGGGGCTGGGGGCGGGGTGGTTAGACAAGCCCTACCCCACGATGTGGCTCACCCCAAGTCTCGGATGATCTTCGCCTCGTTAATCCACGGAGTCCCTGCAGTCCTTGCCCTTCTTGACTGCTGGCCGCCCCTGCCATGCGGGACCACTGTCTCCTAGAAGCGCTCCTTCTGGAATCCCGTGACCAGGGCCTGCCACTCTCCCCTGGCCTCCACTCCCTCTGCCCCGGCACCCGTGGGAGCAACTCTTCCCTCGTGCACATGCCGGAGCTCCCGGGGCTTCCTTCTCGGCTCCCTGCTCCCCCAGGGGGCCCTGCTCCCGGTGTGAACACTCCCCATTCGCCCCAGCAACTTGCTCTCCTCCCTGGGCCTTGCTCCGGGGTGCCGAGGAGTCACAGCCTCCAGAAACAGCACCAGCCAAAGAGGGGGGAGAGCTGGTGGATAAATACCCCGGCTTCCTCACCCCCTTGGGGCAGCTCTGAGGCGCGCGCCCCACGCTCCCTCTGAGAATCGCTCGCAGGACTGAGCCCAGGTGCCCACAGCAGCAGCCCCCTCAGTACTGCTCCTGCCCCTGGCTCCCGTCCCCCACCCCGCTGTGCCGCCTGGGGTCCCCCCAATAAACTACGTGCACCCAAATCTCTGTTTCAGCATCTGTCTGGAGGTGGGCGGGACCCAAGCTGTCACCTCTTCCATGCTCCCAACACGTGGCCAACACCCAGACCTGGGTTTGCAGCCCAGACCTCTCCCCTGGGCCTCCTGGACTACTGTCCCTGGGTGTCCCGCAGGCCCCCAGGGCCGGCACATCACAACACACCCCTCAGGTTCTTACTCCTCCTCCGGGCTGGCCCCACTGTCCACCCAGACGGCACCCTCCGCACCTCCCTCCCTCTTTCCCCACTGTCCGTCAGGTTGTGTCAGCTGGGGGAGGGAGGGAGGGGAGGAGAGAAGATCTGGTTTCCTGGAGCGCTTCTATCACATAAGACTCTGGACGTCCAAAGGGACTTAGAATATCCTCCTCTGAGGAGCCTGCACCTCTTCTCCGAGTGGCCCAGAGGCGGGAGGGGCAGCACAGCTGGCGGGGGAGTGGGGCCAGCTGGAGCCCGGGGCTGCCTGCCCCTCAGCCACTGCCCTCCAGTGCCGCTCACCCACCTCACCCATCTGAGGGCCACCAGATGGCTCCAAACCACAGCGAATCACGTCACACCCGGCGCCCGCCCCTGCCGCGGCCCCCTCCGCTCCCCCCACCTCCCCCCCACCACATCCACCCCTCAGACTCGGGCTCTTCCCTCCCTCAGACACCCACCCGTCACTCTGTGTTCCTGGGAGTCAGCCCCGCAGCTCACTCTTCCCCACTGCCGGCCCTTCCCAGCACCACGACAACCTGACACCTCACTCATTCGTCCGTCCGTCCATCCATCCATCCATCCATCCATCCCTCCCTCCCTCCATTCATTCAGGCCAGTCTCTCTTCTAAACAATATCTTGTTATGATTAAGAGCTTTGCCTCTGAGGTGGGGTGGCCTGAGTTTGAACCCCAGCACTAACACATCCTCTGTCTCAGTTTATTCATCTGTAAAAAGGGGAAAATCGTGACATCCTCCCCTCGTGAGGACTTTGTGTGGATTAGATGCTGAGTCTTTGTGAGGAGCTCTTAGCACAGCGCCACGCCCCCTGTGAGCACTCAGAGTATCCCATCCTCCCCATGAGCAGCAGAGACCAGGGAATAATCCGTTTTAGCAGCTCCAAATGTTGAATATCTGCTAACACTGCCCTCACACTATTATTCATTACTAATTACAGAGACAGCTGAGCCATGGGGGCGCCAGCTGGTGGGCCGCGCACGGCCTGTGCTATCTCGGTAACCCTCACCACAGCTGGGGGAAAAAGGTACCCATGTGCCCATTTTACAGATGGTGAAACTGAGGTCTGCAAAGGTCGAGTAATTTGCTCAAGATTACATAGCTGGTTATGTCCTTGAGCCAGAATTAAAACCCAGAGATTCTGACTCTAAAACCCATTCTATAATCCACCGTGTCATGCATTTAGACTACCATGCATTGATTTTTTTTTAACGTTTGACAGAGTGCCTTCAGATAGATGATCTCATTTGACTGACGTCTCCCTGCCCGCATGGTCAGTGCCTTTGACTGGGAAACCAACGTCTGCCATCTGGAAGACTGCACAGGCCTCCTCATGGTCCCTCCAGCCATTCTTATGGCCAGGGAAATTGTTCTAAAGCACAGATCCGGCCAGGTCACCCCCTTGCCTAACACTTTCAATGGCTCCCCATCGCCCTCTGGAGAAAGCCCCAGCTCGCGTGGCTGGTGAGACAGGCTCAGGGGATCCCTGGAGGCTGACGGCTTATTAATAGAGAGCCAGCCCAGCGAAAGGCCTCTCTTCTCAGCGGAAGGAGTTGGCTTGGGGGGGGCGGTGTTGGGGTGAAGGCAGGTTTGGGAAGCACTGGCTGGTGCCTGTCTTTCGTATCACCTCCAGCCTCAGGGAATAGCTCGGCCACACTCCAGTCTAGCAGCTGCGTCAGCTGCCTTTTCTGGGCAGGGAGCCCCACGAAGGGGGTTCGGGCGAGGCAGAGACGGGGAAGGAGGCCCGGGGGCTGTGAGAAGAGAGGGTGGGGGAGAGAGTGGCAGCTTCCCCGCAGGGAGGGATGTTGGGGGCAGAGCAGAGGTGGTCTGTGCGGGCCGGGGGCTCTGCTGTGCGCGTGTGACGGGACCGTCCTTAGCGCCTTGCCGGGCCCCTCAGGAAAATATACACGACAGACTCTCAGAGCTGGACGTGTGGTTTCAGAGGCCGGAAGGACAGCTGAGGAGGTCTGGGGCGACAGCAGAAGCGTCCAGAGAGGCATGAGGCGTGTGGACCCTGTGGGCCCCTCCTGCTCTGACCTACCTTGTTGGTCATGGAGTTGCGGAGCGAAGACTCGATATTTTTGTGGAAGAGTTTGATCAGCCACCTGGAGATTGACATGTGGGGACATGCGTGAGGCTTCCCAGGTGCCCTTGGGCTGCATTCAGGAGGCTGCCTCATCCGGGAAGCCTTCCTCTCTCCTCCAAAGAGGGCTAGGCACCCCCGACCCTAGACTCCAACTGCACATACCTCATTAGACACTTCGCCCTCTGTGTGCGGGGACCCGCCTATGAGGTTGTTCTCACAATAGGTGCACGGCTTGGCCCCTGCCCTGTCTCAACCTCATTCCCTACCACTCCCCTCCCTCTCTGCACTCCAGCCACACTGCTCTGCCATATCCTCTTGTGTCCTCCCACCACAGGGCCTTTGCACGTGCTTAAAACACTCCCTCTGCTTAAAACACTCCCTGTCCCTAACATCTACCTAGTTAACTCCTACTTACTCTTTTCATCTCAATTCAAACGTCATTTCGTCAAGGAAGAACCGGCCAGCCCCCAGACTGGCTCAGATCCTCCTGTTCTATGGGTTTGTAGCACTTTACGCCTCTTTTTCTTAGATCTGATATCCTTTTGTAATTCTTTGTGAGCCATTCATAAATGCAATGATTTGATTAATGTTTGTCTTCCCCACTGGGCTGGAAGCTTCCAGAAAACAGGGACTGTGTGGCTAAGAGTCTGGGGCCAGCTAGTCCTAGGCTGAATCGCTTCTCATTACGCGGTAGGTATGAACACTCAGGTTATTTCCCATCCTCTCTATGCCTTGGTGTTCTCCCTGAAAAGGGGGTAATAATAGATTAACCACGTGGAGTCGCTGTGTGGGTTGAATGAGATCATGCACAGGCTTATAACAGTGCTTGGCACACGGTAGGCCTCAGGCCTCCGACTGCTGTCAGTTATTGCTAAACTGCTGTCGGCCCCTACTGTTGCCTAAGCGTGTGGCACAAGCCCCGCGCACGGCAGATTCTGAGTGGATATTTGCGGATCGGAGGGCTGGATGAACGCCTACGGCTCTGGGGTGAGGACGGTGTAACAGCGCATCAAGGGTTTAGCCCCGAGCCTGCGGTGTAGCAAGCACTCAGGAGAGCCTGCTGCATGAATGCTGAATGCACGAGACTCCTCGAGGTGGGGACGGTGTCTGCCCCATCTGTGGAGCCCTGTCCCCTCCCCTCCGCCTCTGAACGAGGCCTGGCGTGGAGGCGGCACTCAGGCTGTGTTTCCTAGACACAGGGGTGGTTAGGGCAATCCTCCCCGAGGCCCGCCTCCCACCAGGGCCCCAGGAGCTCCTACCCCAGGCTGCTGCCCGACGTGCGCAGGTGGACGCGGTCGATGCGGTTGGTGCAGCTGGAGCTGGAGGCGGTCATGTGGCCCGAGGCGGGATCAAGGCCGAGCTTCAGCCCCACAGAGATGGAGACGCCCTCCACGCTCAGCTCAAAGTTGCCGCTGGTTTTGCTGACGGGAAACAAAGGGAAAGGACTTGGAGCGAGCACTTTCTTTCCCACAGCCTTTCCAACTCCACGCCAACGCCGGAAGGGAATTTTGCTGGTATCCCCCCTCCAAGTGAGGAGGTGGAGTTCAGAGAGGGAGGCAGCTTGCCCCGGGTCACACAGCGGCTGAGTGAAAGAGCCAGGATTCCAACCCGAAGTGTGAACTCACATCCGCCTGGCCGAACCCCACTCTTACCCACTGCCTCAGCCTCTGCCTTGCTGTGTGGCTTTGGGTGTGTTTCTTAACCTCTCTGAGCTTCAGTTTCCTCACCCAGACTCTGGACCAGCAGTGGGACACCAGCTTTACCACTAAAAATCTGGGTGTTTGGGGCCAGGGACATCATTAATTAATACCCTTGTTCATTTAATGGGGTAAATAGCTCCTCCCTCAGGGAGGCCATGTGTTTTCGATAAGACAGTGGACATGAATGTTGTTTGTCGATTCTTCTATGATGAATCATTGTTGGTGAAGCATTGCTATTTTCTTTGGTCATAAATAAGTGAAATGATAGATGCAAAAGAGTCCAGGTGAAGAGCTAAGCAGTTCTGGCTGTGGGAACAGACGGACACAGTGGGCCTTGTGGGGGAGGGCAGAGCCACGCCCCCTCCTCACCAATTTGATTTTCTCCCTGGGTTTCCCACAAAGGAGAAGTTTCTAGAGTGACGGGTCAGCCTGAGCCACTGTCACTATGTGCAGGGTCACTGTGGCGAGAGCCCAATAGTTAGAGTCAGAGCTGTCACTGGATGCCTTGCCCCAGATTGTCACCCCTCCCGGCTTCCGTACCCTCGCCACTGCCTGTCTCGGGGGAAGGCGTGTGGACTTCCACGCTCTTGTAGCTGGGCTCGGCCCGTGACTCGCTTTGGTCAATGGCACAAGAGTAGAAGTGACCGGGGGCCAGTTCTGAGTCTAGGCCTTCCTTCTGGGGACCTGCATGTTTCCAGATGCCCTTTCTGCACCTCTGCCAGCACGAAGAATAGGCTCCAGGCTGCCCACTGGTGCCAGGAGGAGGAGGAGACACGCGAGGAGCAGAGCTGCCACAGCGGAGCCCAGCCCAGATCAGGGAGCCCTGGCCGACAGTAGACAACAAGTGATAAGAAATGACTTGTTTCAAGCCACTGAGTTTAGGACGGTTTGTGACTCAGCAACAGCCAACTGATAAAGCAGTAAATTAAAGGTCCCACTTAGCCTTCCATCCTAAGCCACAGGCACCGACTCAGCCTTGCAGTGTCCTGCGCTGAGACGTGGACAATGCCCAGCTATTAACCCAGGGTTATGTTGAATCTTCTCTCGTGAAAAATCCCCCCAGGAACCCTGTGGGGACAAATGGTGATGGATGAGGCAAAAACCAGGCATTCCTGAGATCCTGGCTCTCATCCTTTCCAAGTCACCAAGAGCTCACCCATCCATCGACAAACCCCGAGCTTGGAAACGCACATGAAACTCTTTCGTGCCTTCCATTTTCCACTGATCTTGGCGTTGGCGTTTCTGATGGAAAGACTAAGGCCCTCATTGGGCAATAGTTTTATCTGGGAAGTGGGAATCTGGAATCCACGGACATCCATGCTACAAAGAAGAAATGTTCAGTTAGCCTCCTGGGAGCCCACACAAGGCCTCAGTTAATGCAGGCTCATCCCTGGACCCCGGGCCTTCACCCCACCCTTTCCAGGAAAACCCAGAAGCTACCAGAGCAGCCTTGGGAACACTGTGGGCATTGGGCAGGGTGCCTAGGCTTTGAAGTCAGACAAATCCGCACCTGAATCTTGCTCTTCAATTTACTACTGTGTGACCCGGTGCATGTAACTTAATCATCCCGAGCTTTAGTTGCCTCGTTTGTAAAATGGGCACAATAATCTCTATCTTACAGGGTGTGTGGCCATCAACGAAGATAACAAATGTTATCCCATTGACGACAAGTTCTGTAGGGGGGTGGAATGTGTCTGTCTTTTCTCACTATTGTAGCAAAGCCTGCTGTGTCAGGCACATAGTAGGTGCTCAAAAATATCTGTTGAATGAATAGGTGCATAAAATTCTGTAGAGGACATTTATGGGCCTTCTGCCCAGCACCCATGCCTCCTTCTGGGGGGGAACCCCTCCCCACATCTATTCATATTGCTCCAAAGAAAGTTGACTTCACCTCCATCTTCAGGAGGTGGAGCTCGTGACTTAGGCTTAAGCTACTTAGTGTAGTCTATCCCCTGACCACAGGGATTGGTTCACGAGTGTGTCCATCACCTAAGATGGACCAATCAGGGTGAGCCTTAGGGTTTTTGGCTGAGTTACAAGGAGAAGGTGCTCTCTCTCCTCAGGACTGGGAGTGCTGGGGAGATGCTGGTGGCCATCTCACCTCTTGGAGGGGACACCCTACCTGAGGATTAGACCTCCCCAAGGGAAGTGATGCTGAGAGGTGGCAAGAGAGAAACGGGGTCCCATGACATTTGAGCCTGCCTCAAGCCGAAACTGAAGCCAGCCTACTCCAGAGACTTTTCAGTCATGTGAGCCAATAAATTCTTGCTTAGGCCATTTTGGATTAGGTTTTCTATCCTTGAACCCTCATCCCCAAAATTCTAATTGATATGTGGGCCTGGCACAAAGTTTTGGGGTTCATGACACATCCCCCCAAGAGTCATGGTGCGTGCCTGAAAGACAGTTTCTGTGCTTCCTCCAGGCTCAGTTTGGGGGACTGTATCCCCTGGGATGGTGTAAACACTAGCTTTGGGATCCTGACCTCTCTGGGTTCAGGAGTTGGCGGCTCTGTGATTCTAGGTCTTGGTGCCCCAGACACTTGGGGACTGAACTCGATAGGCCTTACCTGTAGAAGCTGTAATGCCCTTTCCCCAAAATCTTGATCTTAAAGCTTCCTGATTGATCAGGAATCTGTATCTTCTCCAACTCCTTCTTCAGCACGGCCACGCCCTGCTGGGAGGCTGAGGGGAGAGAGCAGAGGTGATGGTCAGAGGCCCAGCCCTGAGCGGGGCCGGAGGGTCAGGGCGGGCTCCTGGCCCTCGCCCCTGTCCACAGAAGGGACGGTGGGTTTGGAAAGGTCTCAAGCAAGGTTTTCTGTAAGAGGCCGGATAGTAAATATTTTTGGCTCTGTGGGTCAGACTGTCTCTGTCAGCACGACTCAACTCTGCTGGTAGCGCCCAAGAGCAGCCATAGACAGCATGTAAGTGGACGAGCATGGCTGTATGCCAATAAAACTCTAGTTACGGACACTGACATTTGAATTTCATATAATTTTCACATGTTGTGAGATATTCTTCTTTTGATTTTTTTCAACCATTTAAAAATGTAAAAGGCGTTCTTAATTCACGGGCCATACAAAACATGTGGCAGGCTGGAGTTGGCCTGTGGACTATAGTTTGCCAACCCCTGATCTAAAATATCACCCCCAAACACCCAGGCATGCATCCTATGGGTATTTATTGACCACCGCCTCTGTGCCTTGCTCTGTGCTGTGGCCTCACAGATACACATCTCTCTGGCTTTTGGCCTCTGTCTCCACAGGACCTTTGCATGAGCCGTTCCTGCTGACTAGAAGACCCTTCACCTGGTCAACTTCTAGTTAATTCGCTCATCACTTCCTCCAGGAACCTTCTCTGACCCAGCAGACGAGAGCAATCCCCCTTGTAATCATTCCCACAATGTGGTGGCATCTCCTTTGGAGCTCCCACTACTGTTTGTAATTATGCATTTATTCATGTGACTTTTGATGAATCTCTCTCTCCTCTACCAGATGGAAGTCCCCAAGGTCAGTGGCAATATCTGTTTTATTTACTAATGTAAATAAATGTCCCCCACATTTACCACAATGCCTGGCGCTTAATGTTAGAATGCACTTAACATGTTGGATGAATACATGAATGAATGCCCCCATGTCAGGAATTCCACCATCAGTCATTATGTGGCTAACAGCATCAAAGAACCCATTAAAAGGCAGACACGTTACCTAAGAAGGAGTGAGTAGTAAGATAAAGGATCCCAGGATTTGTGTTTTCCAAGAGCCAGTTAGGAAATAATAATAATAATAAGCATTTATCAGGCTCTAACTCTGGCCCAGGCACTGTTCTGCACTCTGCACGTGTATTAAGGTTCTGGAACAATCCTAGGAAGTAGGATTGTTACCGTTACCACCCCTGACTCACAGATGAGGAAGCTGAGATTCAGAAAGGTGGATGCACGGCCAACAAGTGGTAGAGACAGGATTTGAACCCAGGCCTTCTGGTCCCAGAGCCTGTGCCCTGAAATTGGCCACCTGGGGGTTCAAATTAAGCAACACATACATGGTCACTGCCTGGAGGGGAAGGGAAGGCAACATGGCCCGGATCCGTGGGGGTGCAGGGGCCAGGTCTTGAAGGGCCTCAATACTGTGCTGAAGGTCAGGACATCTTCTGGGGCTCGGAACCACTGACTTGTGTAAGTCAGGGCAGCAACACGAGCAGATGGCTGCATTTCAGAAAACCCACTCTGGTTGCCCCATGGGGTGTGAGAAGAAGGGGAAACCGAGGCTACAGAACGGGAAGACTTCTGGGTTTAAGGCTGAGCTCAAGCCTCTGTTCCCAGGATGCGTTCAGGGCCACCCCGCTCTGGGCTTGGAGCAGGGCCATCCTCCTTTCTCCCAGCTCGTATGGAGCCTTCTGTCTGCACCCTTGGAATCAGAGGTGTCCTGCCTGGGCTGGGGTAGGAACTCATGGAGGGGGTACCAGGTCCCCTGAGCCCTGTTCCGATTCCCCCAGTGGTACACCAGCCGAGGAGTTTCTGCCCTCCCCTTGGTCTGATTTCTCCGGGGCTGGCTCTCCCCCACTGTCTTGTAGTTTATCTCTCCGCCACCAGGAGGCAGCATCGAGCAGCCCACGCTGGGGCATCAGGCAAGACCAGAGCCCAATTTCAGGCGGCCCACTTCCAGAGTCCCTTCTCCAAACCTCAGTTTGCTCATCTGTAAATGTTGCTGGTGACAGCATGTCCCACCCAGGGTTGAAATGAAGACGAAAGGAGGTGGAGTGTGCAAAGCTCCCAGCTCAGTGCCTGGCCCAGATCCGAGCAGGTCAGCCGGGGCTGCTTCAGGCCACTTTCTCCGTCTGGGCCTCGATTCGTGGCCCAGGGGACCCTCTCTGGTCACCCAGATGGGCGGTGTGCACAATATGGCTGCTAAGCCCCTGCCCTGGGGGAGACCATTAGGAAGGGCGCCCACCACACTCCCCCGGCCCTGCTCAGCCTCCTCGTGCGCCTGAGTTCTGCCCACGCTGGAGGCTGGAACAGGACCTCGAGGCAAATGGCAGGGCTGAGAACCAGCCTTGTAAGGAAGCAAAGGACCTAGAAGCCCGAGTTGGGAGTTCGGTAGAGGGAGGGAGGAGACTGTGAGGGCCTCAGAGGCCTGAGCACTGGACTTGGAGTCCTCCAGACCAGCTCTCCAGCCCCAGCGCTGCCACTTCCCGGCCCTGTGACCCTGGGCAACTCACCTTGCCCCAGTTTCTTCACATGTAAGGCAGGGTAAGACAGCCTACTTTGAGGAGCTGTGAGCATGCCATCACTGGATTTAAAGGGCTGCACACAGCAGGTGCTCCATAAGTGCCCCTCAGGGGTGGGAGAGGAGGGAAGGAAGGCATCTGATTACCATAGTCCAGGCCCTTCTGGGTGATCCTGGCCACGATGCCAGGGTTGGTGGCCGCTGTCACAGCTATGCCCAGGGCGGCCAGCACCAGCAGGGTTGCCCACTTCAGCGTGTTGTCAGGGCCCCTGGCCATGTCTTCGTCCTCTAGAGCCGCCAGCACCTCGAGGCCTTGGTGGGGAAACAGTGCCCTGTAAAGGAGGCGACTGGGGAAACACAAGTCAGCGGAGTGTGGAAAGGAGGAAGGAACCTGGGCGGGGTGGGAGCGGGGAGGACCATTGCCTGCTCTTCCCGCCATGGTTGGGGCCACAGCCCCAGAGGCAGCCGGAAGTGGAGCCCTGGAGCCGTGTGTGTGTACATGTGGGGTGTGTGTACACGTGTGTGAGTATGTGGTACATGTGTGTACCTGTTTATGGTGTGTATATGTATTGTATGTGCATACATGTGTGAGTGTGTGTACATGTGGTGTGTGTGGCATGTGTAGAGTGTGTGTATATGTGTGTGTGTGAGTGTGTGTACGTGGGGTGTGTGTATGTCAGTATATGTGTGTATGTGTGTGTGAGTGTGTGTACGCATGGTGTGTGTATGTGTGTGAGTGTATGTGGTATGTGGTGTAAGTGTACGTGCGTGTGCATGGTGTGTGTGGAGTGTGCGTGTATATGTATGTGTACATGTGTATGTGTATATGTGTGTGGTGTGTGTGTATATGTGTATGTCTGTATGTATATGTGTGTATGGGTGTGTATGTATATGTGTGTATGGGTGTGTATGTCTGTATGTGTGGTGTGTGTATATGTGTGTGTCTGTGTATGTGTGTATGTCTTTATATGTGTGTATGGGTGTGTATGTCTGTATGTGTGTATATGTGTCTGAGTGTGTGTTTGTGTGTGCGTGTGTGTAGGTTGAGACTCCTGGCTCTGGGCATCGTTCCCTTCCCTAAGCACCCCATCCTCCTCTCTGAGCCCCCAGTCAAGTCCCTCCATCTAAGGATTTCCTTGAAGTTGGGTGGTGGGTACATCAGGGTACAATATATTTTTCTTTTCTCTTCTTTTTGTCTGCTCTATTGAGGTATAATTGACAAATAAAATTGCATACATTCAAAGTACACAACATGAAGATTTGATATATGTAAAAAATTGTGAAATGATTGCCACAACCAAGCTAGTTAACACATCCATCCCTTCATGTAGTTACCTTATTTTGTGTGTGAGGAGAACACTTAAAATCTGCTCTCTTAGCAAATTCCAGGTATACAATATCGTCTTCTTAACTATAGTCACCATGCTGTATATCAGATCCCCAGAACTTATTCATTTTATAACCAAAAGTTCTATTTTTCTTTCCACTTTTGATTTCGTTGATATTTTTCGTAGTAAAACATTTAAGAAAACAGAACCTTTAGCATTTTCTTGTCCTGAGAGGCAGTAGTGGCAATAATTAAATGGAGTCCAGGATCTTAGCTGTGGTTTTAAATCTTAGCTCCACTGCTCTCTGGAGGCTTGACCTCTGTGAACCTCAACTTTCTCTTCTGTAAAGTGGGAATAATCAGAGCACCCACCCTCCCTGGATTATTGTGAGGCAGAAAGGGCTTTAAACCAGCTAAAGCACTTAGCACAAAGCCCCTGCGTAATAAGCACACAAATGGTAGCTATCCACGTCACTCTGACTTGAAAAAGTAATCCATGTTCACTGGCCAAAATTCGAGAAAGAACCACGAGAATAAAAATTACCTGCAATCCCTGATTTCAGAGACAAGCAGAAGTGTATTTTAGCGTATTTCCCTCCCCCCTGCCTTTTTTTGGTAAGCGTAGGCAAACTGTGTGTTTTTTTAACAAAGAAAAATGGGATCGCACTGGTCAGTTTTGTCAAGCTCCCTTTTTTCAATAAACGGCACGGAGCGAACGTTCGGCCGGTATTAAATATCCTTCCACACGCCCCATATTTCAGTGCTTCCTCATCCCACAGTTTTCTTCGCCAAGCTTTTGTTTTTCCTCCTTTTTACCCCTCCCTTTGACAGATGTGGAACCTGGGGTTCGAGAGAGAAGCGTTCTTCCCACAGTCACGCGGCCAGCTGCTAGCAGAGCCGGGCTTCAAACGTGGACCGCCAGACGCACCGCACACCAGCCCCAGTCCTTCAGCGCCTTGCGGGCTGGGGACACGTAGACACTCCCCACCCCCACCCCAGCTTTCCAGACGGGGCTCTGTCTGCTCGGCCCCTGCCGCTCCCTTTGCAGCATCCTCAGGCCCTGGGTGGGCGGGACCCCCGCCGGGCAGCCGGCCTGGTCTCCATGGTAATGAGAGGAGGGGCGGGGCTGCGGGGGAGAAGGCCAGCTTCTCTCCCGCTGGGTCCCCATCAGCCCCCTGGCGCCCTGTCTCCCCCACTCTGATTTTATGAAAGTCTAATGACGCCCGCCGAGCCAGGAGGACGTGAGACCGCCCGAGTGTTTTTTTTTTCTTTCTTTCTTCTCTTTGCCTGGTTCTAAAAGGGTCTCCCTTCCTGCCCCATCCACACCATCAAGAATCCTGGCTTGCTTAAGAATGAAAGCCGTGGCCACGTACAGAGCCTCTACTGCATGCCAGACGCTTTACACATACTATCCAAAAACAACCCACCAGGGAGGGGCGGTTATTCTCCATTTTGGAGATGAGGAAACTGAGTCACGGAGCGGTTATGTCCCAGTCAGGGTCACACTGACTTTCATGGACACAAGACTTCTTCCCCCTACCTGGGACATTTGCCAGGAAGACTTGTCACCCTGGGTCCTCACCCCAGTGCTACCTTCCTGGCTCTCTGAGTCAGATGTCTATATCCGCGTAAGGACGGTACCTCTAAGTAGCAGCTGAAACACACAGATCGATGACTTGTTAGCAAATCAGATTTTTGAAAAATTATCTTATACCATTTTGAACACCTACAGCTCTAACTGCCCCAAATTCTTGAGTCCCCTGGACCCAGGCAGATGTTGCGTCTGCAAGGATGTCAGACAGGAAAGGAGCATTAAGATGAAACTCACATGACTATGACGTACATCGTGACAAAATTGGAATCTTAAAACCGAATGGCAAGTTTCTGAATAAACCATCCCTACTGGCTTCCCTTTGATGGCTCATGTCCAGCCAAATCCAGATGAGTCCATCAGTGAGGGTCGGCCTCGTTTTCAGTATTGCCACTGGCTGTAGAGGTGTCCCACTGCTTCAGATCTGACTCTCTACTCTGTATAAGTGGCAATGTCTTCAACCCAAGTAACAGAAATCCCCAATTCACAGTGGCTTTAACAATTAAGCACATCCATTATCTCAGAGAAGTCCAAAGAGACAGCAGGTCTGAGGTTCTGGTTGGTTCAGCAGCTAACAGATATTTACTCTCTCTCCATCTCTCTGCCATCCTAGGGTCTCAGATTTACCCTCACACTGCCTTCTTTCACAGTTGCAAGATGGCTGCAGCAGCTCCAGCCATCGCATCTAAACAGGCTTCTTCCAATGTCTCCTCCTCCTTCTCCTCCTCTTCCGCTGCTTCCTCCTCTTTTTTGGTCTCTTTATTATTATTGTAAAATATTTCAAACATGTAGATAAGAATAGACTACCCACGTTAATAAAATCTTAAGATTATGCCATATTTACCTTTTATAGTCTCTTTTAGTTCTATGAATTTTAATACATGTATAGCTATGTGTAACCAGGACCACAATAAGGATATAGAATAGTTTTTTCATCCCCTTAAATTCTCTTCTGCTACCCCAACTCAACATGGCTTAAATCATAAGGAAAATACATTATCTCAGCAGGAATTCAGAAGTAGGGTGGATGAAGAGTCAGTTAATTCAGAGGCTGATTCTGTCCCTCTGTCTAGGATGGTCCTTAGGATGTTGACTTTTTCCGGAGGAAAGTGTGTTGGGTTTGGAGCTGGCAGACCTGGGTTCACGACCTAGGCAGCCAGGCGACCTACTCTCTGTGTGACTCTGGTCACGTTTTCTGACCCTGAAATTCGGATTCCTTATTTAAAGATCAGGAAGCAATGCCTGTCATGGGGGTTGTTGTGAGGATTAAATGAGACAATAGATGTGAATCGATTTGCACGGAGAAAGTGCTGAGTCATAATTCAGCCTCCATCATTAGCGGGCTGGAGGGCTCTGGAACCCCCAGGAAAACACACTAGGGGCACCACAAACTGAGCCCTGGGTCCTCTGGTCTTTGGGTTTGGGCTGGATACGCGCAGAGAGAGAGGGATCCAAGGCTCCATCGCCTCTGTGAGCTGCCACCCAGCTAGGAGCTGTGAGGAGAGACGGTCACTCCCAGCGCAGCCGGGCAGAGCGCAAGTTGGGGACCTTGCAGACCTGGGCCCAATCCTAGCTTGCCACTTACTCGCTGTGTGAGATTGAGCTTGTGGCTTAACCTTGCTGACCCTCAGCTGCCTCGTTTGTCCCCACGCTCCATCCTCGGGTGCAGGCGCCTCCTCAGGGCCGGGTTTCACCGTGAGGCCCTCCCCGTGGTCAGCTGTGGGCCCATAACCTCTCCCTCCCCCTCAGCCTTGATTCTCCAGCTCTTTCCCTGCTTTATCCACCCATCCCACCTCCTCTGGTTCTAGATTGATCCTGGGATGCAGGAGCAGGAGGGGGCTCTGATGGGTCCTGGGGGTGGAGCGGAGGAGAGCAACAGGCTCTCCTGGAGATCTGGCCTCACGGCGAGCGTCTACAAGGCGGTCAGACACTCTGTACCGTGGAGGTAACCTCCAGAGGAGGCTCCCCTGCCTTGTTACCTGAAAAAGTGCCTTTCTCTTGCTGAGCCTCCAGTCTCAGAACAGGAACCCTTTGGGTTCACTGGTCCTGGAGAGGGGGCAGATCTTTCTCATGGTGTTATGATTATGACTATGATTATGAGCGCAGTCCCAGAGCAGATCACAAGATATATTCAATAGTGAAGAAACGAGAGAAGGATCAGAACCCAGAGCATAATTTCCAGAAAGTAAGTGTGTGGAGCCTGAGAAGGAGAAGCTCAGCCTGACCTGGCAATCCCCCAGGGCTTCCAGGAGGAGGCGAGATTTGGCCTTGGCCCTGGCGTGGCAGCCCACCTCGGTGTGGTGCTGATGGAGGGAGACTGGAGGCTTGGGCTTCGCGGGGCAGAGGAGAGATGTTCCTCTGGCTTCTCCTTTCTCTCGGGAAAGCTGAGGAGCCTCACCTGAGTTACAGGGTTGGCTCTGGTAGGC